CTTTTTCTTGCTCCACCGCCGCCAACAAAGACGCCGCCCGTGGTCACGCGCTTTTCCCGCTTCCAACTATCCCCGAATTTCTCACGACTCCAGATGTCGGCGAGCATCCAGCCTTCAAGTCACCGTCTCCGACCATCAGAATAAAGGCTCCCGTCCGCTGCGCCGCGCGCGCACTTTCGCTTCCCTCCAGACTCGCTGCGTCTCTGGTCGCGCGTGCCCGCCTCCCGAGATATTCCGTCACCGAGGCCTTGGTCTGACGCTTCTTGTGCCCGCCTGCCCCGGTCGCGCAGAACCGTTTCGCTGGTTCCTTCTGTGCGGTGGTGCCCATCCGCATCGCCCGCCCGACGAGAAAAAAAAGAAGCCCAAGAAGCAACAGACAAAGTTGCTACAAGCACGCAGGGCGAACAAGAACCCCCGAGCGCAGCGTCTGTGTGTCGCGCCTTGTCGTGTTTGCATGCGCACTGAGCAAAACGCAAAAAAAGTCGTCCGCCCGATATCGAAACGCCACATCGCTCCCGCCCGCATCTCCCCCCAAACTATCCACCCAAGTCACATCCACGACAGGCCCAACGACCCCCATCGCCCTCGATCCCGAACCTCGTCCCTTGTCGGAACCGCGAACGGCCGGCCTGCCATTCCGAATAGCTTCGCGCGCGCCCTTCTTTGCGGGGCGCAGTTACGCAAGGCACCGTGGCGGCGCTTACCATCCTCGACCAGCCCGAGACGCCGGAGCTGTCCCTGCAGCAGCATCTCGACCTCGCGCCCGATCTGGTGGGCTACGGTAGCCAACTCGTCACGGGGGACGATCCCCAGTCCTTGATGATGGCACAGCCGGTGCCTCATCAGGACAAGAAGCGCGTCAAGGTCTATGAGCTGCGCAACAATGACTGGTTTGATCGCGGAACGGGCTTCTGCACCGCCAAGTTTGCGACGGTATGTTTGCGTCTTTCTTTGCGTCTCCCCTCGGCCTATCCTTGTCTCGCCTCGCGCGCTTCCCCACTCCCACCTCTCTTCTCGTCTTTCTTCTTTCTTTCCCTTCCGGCGACTTTCCTTTCCACGCATTGTTTAGCAGGATGGGATGGATCAGCTGGGCTTGATTGGGCCGAGTTTACCTGGCCTGACCTGGTCTTGCTTTGGCTCTCGCTCTCGCTCTCCTTCTTGATTCACCTTGGCACTGCAAGCGAGTGGTCCGTCCAAGGGATACGCGTATTCACACCCCCGTCGTTGTCGCTCTGATTGCTAATTGTGTCATGCGTTTGACGTCCAACGTAGACCGAAGATGGCAACAAAGATCCAAAAGTCATTGTAGAGTCCGAAGACCGACCCGAGCGCCTTCTCCTGGAGACGACAATCCAGAAACAAGATGGATTTCAAAAGCAACAAGGTAAGCTCTCACCGACCCCTCATACCCTTTCTCTTTCCCTTTTCCCAAGTATCTTGCGTCATCTGTACCGTTCCCGGTACCTTTCATTTATACTTTCTTCCCCTCTTCGTCTTTCTCAATCTTTTATACACAAAAGTCCCTCCGTCTCTCTTGGTTTTTGGTGACGTTTGGCTAATGAGGCGCAATAGAAACGCTCATCGTATGGCAGGAGCCAGGAAGCGGTGTTGATATGGCCTTGAGTTTCCAAGAGGCCGAGGGATGTGCCATGATCTGGTTTGTCTCAACCTCTTCCTCCTTCCCCCCTCCTCCTTCCCCCCCTTCGCCCTTGTCGATCCTTATCCATTGCGCCTCTCGAAGCATCCAAGACCGTCTCTCTTAGTATAGCATCGATTGAGCATTGGCTAATGATATCATGCGGTGGTTAAGGCGCTTTGTCAATTCCGTCCAGCAGCAGTTCCAGCAGAATGCTGGTGTAGGTAAGGATTGATCGTCACCGCCGTTAATGGCATCTATAAAACCAGAAGCTGACGCTTTATCAGACGACAATTTGTCCGATGATCTCGCTATTGAAACCATTGCTCCCGTTAACCTTCCCACTGCCGAGCTGGGCAACCTGGTGGAAATCGAGACTAGCATTAGGGTTATGAGCGCTACTGCTACCGGCCGCGAAGCTGTCACCAAGTTCATCGTGGCCGATGACTATATCAGCAAGCTTATCCCTCTGGTAGAGATTGCCGAAGATTTGGAGAGCCTTCCCGACCTGCATCGCTTGTGCAACATCATGAAGAGCATCCTGCTCCTCAATGACACGTCCATCATTGAGCACGCCGTATCCGACGAGTGCCTCCTGGGGGTCGTCGGTGCTCTGGAATACGACCCCGACTTCCCCAGCCACAAGGCCAACCATCGACACTGGCTCAGCAACCAAGGACATTACAAAGAAGTTGTCCCCATCAATGACGATGCGGTCCGCCGCAAGATCCACCAGACATATCGCCTTCAATATCTCAAGGACGTTGTTCTGGCCAGAATCCTTGATGACCCCACCTTCTCCGTGCTCAGCTCCCTCATATTCTTCAACCAGGTTGAAATCGTCCAGCACCTGCAGACAAACCCAACGTTCCTCATGAATCTCTTTGGCATCTTCTCTGCCCACTACCCCGACACAAGGAAGCGGAAGGAGGCCGTCCTGTTTATCCAGCAATGCTGCTCAATTGCCAAGACCATCCAAGCCCCGGCGCGCCAGTCCCTGTATATCAACTTCCTCAACCATGGCCTGCTCCGTGTCATCTACTATGGGCTGAGACACGTTGATGTTGCCGTGCGTGTTGGGGCCACGGACATTCTGATATCCATCATTGACCACGACCCGACGCTTATCCGCCAAACCATTTTTCGACAGATGCACGAAGGGACCTCATCGCTATTGGATTCTCTTATCGATCTTCTTCTGGTCGAAGTGGACTTGGGAGTCAAGACACAAATATCAGATGCTCTCAGAGTCATTTTGGACCAGGGAGGAGGCCCAGCTGCTATGAATGAAGCAGCGGCTAATAACAATGCCAACGGCGGCGGCAACAAGCAGCAAGCCGCCGAATTGGCTGCCAGGGCAAGGATGCAAATGCCTATTGATCCTCAGCATGAGCACTTCCTAACCCGCTTCTACGAGTCCTCCGCTCTCAAGCTGTTCAGGCCTCTTATCGAGCTAGACACCCGTTCCCATCTGGACTTTTCTGTTCAGGAGGCCGCCATGTTCTCATGCTTGGTGGAAGTGCTTGGCTTCTTTATCCGCCAGCACCATCGGTTCAGCAGATACTTTTTCATTGTGCACAACCTTGCCGCGCGCATCGTCCAGCTTCTCAAGTGTCGAGACAAATACCTGCAGCTGGTTTCGATTCGATTCTTCCGACTAATCGTTGGCCTCCAGGAGGAGCTGTATGTCAAGAATCTAATCGAAAACGACGTTTTGGGTCCTATTCTCGAGGTTCTGGTGGAGACTGTGCCGCGAGACAATCTTGTCAGCGCAGCTTGCACCGAACTCTTTGACTTTGTCAAGAAGGAGTACCTGAGGGACATGGTCAAGCAGCTTGTGGCTGACCATCGGGAGAACTTGCTTCTCGTTAGCCACATACCGCCTTGTCAAGACTTGATCACGCGCTATGACCAGACTGAAGGCTACACGACCAACATGGACTACTTCGCCGATACAGACGACGATGTGACGAGGAGAGCCCCCAACGTCAGAATGATGGAGCATCTACCCATTGATCTGCGTGAAGAGGAGTACTGGGACGCTTCTGACCCTGAAGACGAAGGGGAAGATCACGGCTCAGGAGATAGGCTGTCCGAGAACGGCGGGTCATCTTCTGCAAAGCCTCTGGTTGACTATGCCTCGGATGAGGACGATGGCGACGATGGTTTAGACAATGATACCGATGACCAGTCCAGAGACGATGGCGATGAGAATGCTGATTTCAGCCCACGGTCGAATCTCTCGACCAACGTGCCGCCGCCCGAACGTCTCTCTGAAAAACGCAGACGAGAGGAAGACGAGGAAGACGACGACGAGCTAGGCAAGCTGATGCATAGCAAGCGACGCAACAGTAGCTCTACGGAATCCAACTCGTCAATTACACCGGGCCTTACCCGGAGACGCAAGGCGAGCTTCACCAACGGAGGCAGTAATGTCACACCCAGGAAGATTGCAATTAGCCTGTCACCAGCTCTGAGGTCAGGCGGTCCCTCTCGATCCGACGATGACTCGTAAATGATGGGACTCTGTTTTTGGTCGCAGTGGTGTGTGCGGTATTATATACCCTCTCTTCATTTCTCTTCACTTGAACCCTGTTCTTATTGCATCATAATTTTTCTTTCGGCCATGACAGTGTTAAGAGCAGATGATATCTCTGTGTCCAAGGGTTGGTCCTCGTAAAAACGGGGAAGATGGCGGCGGGTAGGCAACAAGGCGGCGTTAGGATTTTATTCCCTTTATTTCATTCCTGGGTTGGTCATTGGCCACACCGTATTGTTTTTTTGTTTTTTTTTCTTGTTATCTTTGGGATGATGATACGGCTCACTATGCCCGTCACTGTTGGAGATCACGATGGCGGCGGCGGCAAACACCCTTTTTCAGAAATAGAATCGACATGGTGGAGGGAGGGCAAGATCGGAAAGACATGCGAAAGAAGAAAGATAAAAAAACGTCCCAAGGACACAAGTTTGACTCTGAGATCCAGGAGTGCAGGAGGCGGAGTTTCAAGCTTCGCGCTTGATTTGTATCATATCTAACATACTTGAACAATATAATGGACTCCTTCTCAGCCAGAAGAGGGAACATGAAACAAAGCGAGTTACACCAAAAACCGGCATAAAAAGAAGACGTAGACAGTAGAATGCCGTTAAATAAATCAAACCAGCCGTGAAAATGTGTGAACTTCGGGTGCAGTGTACTGACTGCCATGAGAAATTTTGCCTTTGACGCGATGCTTTTGATGTTGGAAACTGGTAGGTGATGTCTTGAAAAGTGTCTCCATGTCCGTTGTACCCCTTACCCCCTTTTCACCCTTGAATTGGAGGGTTTTCCTCTCGAGTCTATTAGTGTTCCGGTTGCTTATCATCATAGTCTTTTGAATTGCCTTGACCACATTTCGTAGCCCGAGATCATCATGGCCGTAATGTTTCTCGGAGTCTTCTCTACCGCAGCCACCAAATCCGCCATGGTAATCTCCATCTTCTCGGTACCTGTTTCGTCTTCGTCGCACCTGTCAAGCACAGCCAAGCCAGCCTCGTTGCAGATGGCCTTGATCTCGGCTCCTGAATAGCCATCCGTGACGCGGGCCAGTTCCGGGACATCCACGTCTGGTGAAAGGGCCAGGCCCCGAAGATGCACGCCGAAGACGGCTTCTCGAGCAGAGAGGTCGGGGGGTCCCACGTAGAGAATCTGGTCGAAGCGGCCTGGGCGGAGGAGGGCTGGATCCATAGCCTCAGGACGGTTAGTGGCGGCGAGGACGAGAACGCCGGTGAGGGATTCGAAGCCGTCCATCTCAGTAAGGAGAGTGGTAAGCATATTCACGGAGCCTGTGCTCCTGGCGGCGGCGGCGGCGCCGTTGCCTCCAGTCCGAGAACCGCCGATGGAATCGATTTCGTCAAAAAAGATGATGGAAGGGGCGGCAGCGCGCGCGCGTTCGAAGAGCGTTCGCACGGCACGCTCAGACTCACCAACGTACATGTTGAGAAGCTCAGCACCCTTGACAGCGAAGAAGTTGAAGGAAGACTCAGTAGCCATGGCCTGGGCAGACAGAGTCTTGGAGCAGCCAGGAGGGCCATACAGAAGCAGGCCCTTGGGAGGCTGACGCAGGACGTGACGAGAAGTGGGATTGGTATCCTAACCAAGCCATTAGCAACAATACTTTCCTTTATACTTGTATACTTGTGAAAATGGGATGATGAATCGGTATAGAATGGCGCTACACACCTTTGTGTTTTTGATCATACGAGATAGAACCTTTTTGAGGGATTCTTGGCCACCAACATCTTGCCAGTGAATGGTGGGTGGCTTCAAGTTTATGTCGTGCATAGCTGTGGGACGAGTGATGCGCAGAGCTTGTTCCATGTCTTGAGAAGTAAGATAATGTTCTTTTGGTTGCGGTGTTCCTTGAGAAATCTCTTCCGCAGCACCAACGTCGACATTGTGAGCAGCAGCAGTCTCCTCGTCGAGCCTGTTGCCGAGAATCTTCTTGGCATTTAGAACCAAATTTGCGAGATCGTCTCCATTGTATGCGTGAGTTTTGGATGCCAGGCTGACGAGACAAGATTCCTTTTCTTCAGCTTGTAGAGGAGGGTTGAAGAAGCGCAAGATCTCGAGGCGCTCCGTCGCGCGAGGGATAGGCAAAGCAACATTCTCGCGGAAACGTGAGCGTTTTTGGAGTTTGGCTGGGACGTCGGCCAAATAATCTAGACATGTAGCAACAACGACAACCCGGGGCAGAGCATTGGCAGCAGAGGCTGCCGCAGAGAGATTGTCAAGCTCATCGCCAAGGGCCTCAATGACAGTGTCACGATTGGAGCGATCTTTGGCGAGAATATCCTCGAGACCATCGATGAAGAGAAGGCTCGGCTGCTGAGACTGAGCCTGTTTGAACGTCTCCCTGATGGACGACAATTTGTCTGAAGGCCTGATCCAATGAACCCGACCCCAATTGGTGGCTGCGATACGCTGCAGAATAAATGTCTTGCCAGTGCCGTGGCCACCATGAATGACGAAGCCGCAAGATTCTCGCTCATTCTGTATCCAGAAAGGTCGGCCAAAGCCCCTGAGAAACTGGTTAATGGTGTTGACTTGAGAAGATAAACCGGGGACTCCTGTGACAGCTAATGGACTAGATGTAGTAGCTACTTGGGCATCTTCAGGGGTATCCTTGTCACCTCCGGGCTGGAGAATCCGTACTGTTGACGAGGAGAGCTTGAAGCGGGCTAGGTTATTGGTCTGTCCATTGACAGATATGACTTTGAACGTTCGGCGCAGCTTGTTGATGTTGACACCCTCGAGCACCATGCCTGGAAACACTTGTTCCGCACGGTCGAGGGAGACGCTGACGGAAAACTCCCAGGACGGGGGGTGTCTTGAATCCGCGGCGGCATCCTTTTGCTGATCCGCCTCACTGGCGACATCTTGAACCACGACTTCTTCTGCATCTGGAATCACAGCAGGCTCTGCTAGAGTAATCCGGACCACGTCTCCGAGCTTGAACCCCGTGGCCTCTTGAAAGGCCCTTGTCATCATGACAACATTGGGGCTAATGTTCTTTTCGGGGAGAACCCATAGCGAGGCTCCCCTTCGTTTGGAAGTCTCTGCATCCGCTGCAGATGCATCGCCAGAGGTGTCGTCTGTTTGGAGGCTCTCAACGGTGCATGGGCGGCCGCTCTCGAGGCCGCTAGTAAGTGAGATGAGCGAGTCTTTGCTGACGTAGATGCGAGCAGCGCCGAGGAGACTTGCTCTTTCAAGACTGACATTGGCGAGAGGGCGAACTTTGGCGTCGATGCTTTTTTTCAGCATCTTTTCATCGAGTGTGCGTTGATGAAGAGAAAAGAAAATGAAAGAAAGGGAAGAAGAAAAAAACCTTTTTAAAATCTAACCGAGCTGGTGGGTAAGAGAAAGGTTCTAGTAATTACATGTGCATGAGATTTAGAAGGTGCGATTGAGAAGTGAATGTGGGATGCTTGAAAGGTCGAGGAAGGACCCTCCAAGAATTTTCCTCTTTAGTACCTATAGTATAGTGTACTTGCAATTGTGGGAATCAAGTGTACTTGTACACCTTCCAAGAGATTCAGGTTGTGTAGGTACTAAGGTACCCTGTGGTTTTTATCAATATGACAGTCTTGGTAAGTGTGTATGAAACAAGAATAAGGCCTAGCAAATCTATATAATTTCATGTCAAAACCAACTTTGCATATCATGATAATAGGTAAATCTTGCTTCAGTCGCATCTTGATCAATTTCCATGCGGCAAGATCTGGTGCACGGAGTGTACCCGCTACCTATCTCGCACTAGCAAAAGGTATTCCGTACCTTGCCCGACGTCATTGCAGAGAAAAGCCGTAAACTCCAAAACTCCAAATCGTCCGTCCACACGATTCCTCTCGACTTAGCATCCCGCCTCTTGTCTTTCTCTGTTCGGAGCAGCTCAATGCGCCCTCTCTCTGGCAATCTGCCTGGATGATCTGCCCTCGATGGACACCTCGAGCGACAGCGACTCTCGCTAATCTCGGCGACTGCTCGAGGCAATGCTCCTCTCGCCATGCTCTTCGTCCAAGCAAAGAAGCGGGTTCGAGGCCGAGACGCGGGTTCAGCACAATTGGAGGGAGCAGTGGAGATGGTAGCTCGGACTCACCACCTCGCGAAACATTGCAATTCTTGAAAAACGCTCAACGAACTCCTCCTCGTCACACAGCGGCGTCCACATCGGCATCTACCTCCAATCCGCTGCCGAGACGGCGGACATGGACACCAGCGGCATCTTTAGCTGATGCTGCCGGTCTGGATCGGCGGCCGCGCAATCAACCAAAAACTGGCGAAGCTCGACGACCTCGTGTGGGCGGAAGAGATCAAGGCGGCAGCAGCGGCGGCGTGGAAGACGAGCCTCAGGATACACCTCGCCTGGAGTGGCCACAGCTGCAGAGAAGAGCAAGAGGAGGGAAACAATACGGGCATGCATGGGATTCCGGCGTCACCACTCCAAAGAACCCCTTCTCTCGACGACAAAGCATACAAAACCCACGAGGCACCAAGGAATCGTCACTTGTCATGCTCGTAATAGACGGCATGTCGCCCAACCTAAACGCTGCGGACTTTTACCGCATAACGCCAAACGACCTCTCCGATTGGCAGAGCGTCATCAAGAAAGGTTATTATTTTTCATCCTTTCATCTTCTCTTACCTTTGATGATGCAAACCATCTAACTCGCTCTTCTACCCTCTAGTCCAGCAGCAACGCAAGGTAGACACCCTCGAGCCCCTCGGCCGCTACTGGGTCACCTTTAGCTCAGGCGAGGCCGCCGCCTCCTACCGCGATAGACTTGTTCGCCTGCACAAGCTCAACGGCTTCAAGCTCCGGTCCGCCAGTGGTTTATGGGAAAGCAGCGTCCCGTCCTCCCTCAAAGTTTCTCTCGCAGCGCCATCGGCGGCAGCAGCAGCGGCCGAAACTAGCGATGCCCTGACCTCCGACACACGGAGCACAGAAACCCTAGTGGACCTTGTCAACACGTTTACCATTGCGCCAGGCTCTCAAGCCTTACTGCCGATACAGCGCAGAAAGGTTTCTCTTTTGCGGCCGTGGACGAATCGCCTGGCAGGGCTAGTCGAAAACCTCGGGTACGGGGAGCGGCCCCCGACGCTGATGGTGGACATTTATCCACCCACTTTGAGTGCCCAGGAGCTGCACCAGTTCATCCGTCAAGATGGGCAAAACCGAGGCCTCCGGTGGCAAGTCTCTCTGCCTCAGCATCTCAAGACGAGCGGCTCGCAGCGAGGATGGGCCAAGACGAATAGGACGAGAGAGGGTAGTTGGAATGACGAGGTGGATGAGCTGGAGGGGGAAGACAAGCGGCGAAATCCATTCTTTTGGCGCAACGATCGCGAGACATTGGAAAAGCTCAAGGGTCGGTTCATACTCGCGTGCGCCGATGAGACAGAGGCACGGCGGTTTCAGCAGAGCTGGAATCGTAGAACGCTCACAACACTGCAGCCGGAGCCGGCAAGGTACTTGGTTCATGCATCAATAATAAAGTGGTAGTTATCTCCTCCGTCTATTATCACACATCCTATCTCATCTCATCGCCATCGCCTCGCGCCTCATACTGCTAACTATCGTGATTTGCTACCGCATGCTTCCCCATCATTTGTTCTTCGTGACTGCATCTCAAATTATAAATACTCCATTGTTGTGGACGGCTTTCTCACCTCCCGCTTGCTAGACCTTCTTTCTGCTCCGCTCTATTGCGACACTTGTCACTTGTCTTCAATCAACTCTTTTTTATCTTTGCCACATGCCAGACTCCAAAGCAGAAACAACAGCACGGCCCCTCTCCTTGGCCGCTACAGGAATAGTCAATGACACAGTAGCAGTAATAGTTTTTTTTTTGTATTAAAACCCAAATTAATAGAAAAATGAAACGAGAGAGAAAAGGACAATGAAAGGGGGAAAGGGAAAGGGGGAAAACAGAAAGGGGAAAAGAAGACCGCAAAAACTCCGAACCATAATTGCTCTCTCTAAGGTGGGTAGGTTAGGGGGGTGTGGATTGAAGGTCTCTCCGAGTGAGACTGTGGGCAATATCTTTCTTTTTCAAGTCAAGGAACTCTCATGACCCTCATGTCCGAAATGTCATTACTGGCACAAAGCTGATAAAACTGCAGGCCTCATAAACAGCTCCGTATGTCTTGATCGCGTTGCGCCGCCGTCTCCATTATATCATAGGTCAAATACACTGTCAAATCAACGTCGTGCCTCGCGTTTGCTCGTGCGGCATACAACTGTTGGACCCATTTTAGCAGCACTTGCCACTGGCAGCCTCGCTCTTCTCGCCAACATTGATACCTGATGAGCCACCGACGTCGGTCTTCTGGTTGTCGATGAGACGCTTCTTGATGTCGGCAGCCAGGCTGTAAAAGGCCTGGTCAATGTTGATGTTGCTCTTGGCAGAGACTTCGAGGAAAGGAATGCCGAGCTCGTCAGCCAGCGCCTGGCCCTGCTCCGTAGATACAACGCGCTTATCCTCCCAGTCGCACTTGTTGCCGATTAGGATCTTGTTGACGCCTTCGGTGGCGTGCTGCTCCACGTTCTGGAACCAGGTACGAATGTCTGTTGAGAAAAAAAGGAACATGTTAGCCGTGGCCTAATTAACTCCACTTTTGTTTCCTCTTGCTATTTCTCGAGCACTGCAGCAAACAATTGCTCCAAGGCGGGCACCCGCTTGAACGTGTCCACAGAACAAATGAGGTAGTTTGGCAGGCCCAGCATCAAGAAACGGAGAGACGGGTAGACGGAGAGCAGGAGACACGATTCAAGGCGGTGAGCAGAGTGGGGAGGGGGGGGGGGGGTTGACATACTCTGGAATGATCGCTCGTCGGTGACATCGTATACCAGCAGGATGCCCATGGCACCGCGGTAGTAGGCAGTGGTGATGGTGCGGAATCGCTCCTGGCCGGCGGTATCCCAGATCTGCAGCTTGACTCGCTTGCCATCCAGCTCAATCGTCCTGATCTTGAAGTCGATGCCAATGGTGGTGATGAAGGACGGGGTGAAGGAGTCTTCACTGAATCGCAACAGACAGCATGACTTTCCAACACCGGAATCACCAATCAGAAGAAGCTTGATCTAATGAGGACATGGTCGGTTAGCATCTCGTTCGTCCTCGTTCTGGATTGCAGCATGATTGCCTCGTCGTCGACGATGCCATGTGATTGGAGCCGCGCTTAGTGGCCGGAGGGTGGGGGGGGGGAGCGAAAGGGGGGGAGGGGAGGATGAATCAAGTCGTACCAGAAAGTCGTAGTTGCGATTGCTAGGCATGGCGGGCATTTTGGGCAGAATACAGTCCTGATTAAGGGGGCTCGAGGTGGTGCAAAGGTCGACTCGAGAACGACGGTCGAGCGCTGGGGCTGCGAGACGAAGTGGCGGAGAGGCGGGAAAGGCAGAGGCGGAAGACTAAAGAGGCGTCCGGGCCGTGAGAAGCAATGACAAGCCCAAGAAAAACCTCGTCGAGATGACTTGTGTATATGTACCGAGCACAGTTGCTACACGGGTTGTGTTGGCGGCAGATCCGGAGAAAGGCTCAGCACCAGAGGTATTGCAGCGAGGCGGGAGTCAGGTTTGGTGATGCCGGAGCAACAAGAGAGGCTCTCTGGACTGAAGAGGACGCGGGCAGGACGTCAAGACGGAGACGAGGAGCGGTGCGCTGGCAGAAGGGCGGGCGCAATTGAGCGAAGCTGGCGATGCAGGTGGCAGAGGCCGGAGAGAGAAGGTTTCAAGGCCCGTCGGTGAAGGTTGCAGAATCGAGGTTCTGGCATCTGGACAGCTGGAAGCGGTCGGGACACTTGGCCGAGATGCACGTCCAGCGTGGTGCATACGTAAACTTGGCTAGCGCATGTACCTTTTGCGCCGAGCGGCGCTGGCAAGCTACTCGTACCGACGGGGTCGAGGGGGCGCCTCTTGGGGGGGCCAGCTGCTGGACTGGGCTGATGTTTTAGTGGAATGGCCACCTAAAACCCGCTGGGCCCCTTCTGAAGCCTCAATCAATCAACCTGAATCGATAAAAGGTTGCATGCATGGATGGTTGATTATGCGGTCGGGTGTCCAAGTCATGCATCAAGCTTCAATGAATGGTTACTGTAGATACCTAGGAGATACCTGGGCACCCAATGCATTTACATGTGCACGCAAGTATATCATCCATATCTATACTAGGTACCTAGTAGTATGCAGGCACCTCTATCCATTGCGAGATAATTATCGCAGCACTTTAACAACCTACAACCCAAGGTACCTCTACTACTACTAAGTATAGCCAAGGCAGGGCAGTAGCCAAACCCTCGGCAATCTACGCACGATGCTTGGACCAGGCATCGAGATAATCGCTGCTAGCAGGTACTACCTTAGTACCTCTGCCTAGCACAGGTACCGTATGATCCCGTTGCAGCCGTCGTCCAAATACCAGCACCGCCGAGCCCAGCGAGTCGCAGACGCACATGGTCCTGGCCATGAACTAATAGCACATCAGCCCTCTGTATCCTTTTATGGGACTCTCGTCTTCCTTGTAATCGTTGCAGCTTGGAATCCCCGCCGCTATAAGTTCAATGCTTGCTAGAGGCTTAGTACCTTAGTACCTACTGGTAGTACCTTTAGTACCTGTAGTAGTGGGACAAGTTGCATACTCGTGCTTGGACATGCAGAGTCCAGTCTCCAATGCCTTGCCCCTTACATGTACGAGTAGCTGTTGAAACAACCTCCTTGGCTCGTACATGACAAGTACCTCGTACTCCCCATTCTCGGTAACTGGTCCCTGCATTCGCATGAGGGGCCGCTGACATTCATCGCGAGTGGCTGATTTTTTTTTTCTTTTTTCTTTTTTTTTTTTTCAAACCAGGCGGACGAGGGAAATGTGACTGTGGCACGAGACTTTTCTTGTTTCTTGTTTCTCGTTTCTTGTTTCTGCTTGGTCCAATGGTTTCGAGTGGAAGACGTCATCGGTCGGCGTTTGGATAGAAGCGTCGTCCCGAATTGATGCCATGGAACGGGTACGAGTACGGCAAGGTATAGTACGTGTATCCGGCGGCTTGGTTAATCCAGCCCCGCCACATCATCACAGGGTTGTAAGGTGGGCATGTGAAAGATCAAGGGAGTACAGTAGGGGTGCAAACAAACAGTTGGACTTGATAATCACGTAATATTCTGCTTGGCATATAATCACAAGAATACAGTCTGTTAGAATATGCCTCAGGTACTGACCAATGCCAACGCGACATGGTCCGTTGGCTGAGATTGTGGTTACATGTATCTAGGAGCGCTCACCAGCACCAGCCTCCCAAACTCATCCAAAACACATAGCAACATTGAAGTAGATACCTGAATCCAGCAGGAAGTGAGAAGTCATCAAACCGCCACGCCAATGTCAAGAAAGAAAGAAAGAAAAAAGATCCTGGCAAGCTCATCAACCCTCTACCCCTTGTGCTCAAACACATCGTTCCACATCGCCGGAACCTCTCCTGGTACCGGCACCACAATCTCCGTCTCAGTAAACGCTGGTGGCCCAACGAACTGGCCCTGATCGCACAGCGTGTTCAGCGTCTCGCAGTATAGACTCCATCGGTCGCAATTGGCCTGCCCAATCGTCTGCGAGCTCAGCCTGCACTTCTTGCTCTGCTCAAAGCATCCCTTGACGCCACCCCAGCATCCTTGCTCGGTCGAGTACGGCGGGATGGCTTTGCCGCACCAGTTTGCGCTCTTGAGGAGGCAATCTTTGGGGATGACGCCTGCGGTCTGAAGCGTTGGCCCCGGTGTGGAAATCCCCACGGCGCTGTTCGCGTCGAGTTTGGGCATGTACACCTTTGGGCCGGGAATTGGATACGGCGGCAGATTGTTCTGATAAATATCATATTTGAGGCCTGGCGTGGAGGTTTCGACATACCCGGGGATGCTCGCGAGATGCTCCTGGGGCACGTCGAGAGGGCCCTGGACATCGCTGCTGAGGAAGATTTGCGCACAGCCCACAAAGTACTGCGGATCGTCGCGATGGACGGCCCAGTGCAAGGCCAAGATCTCGGGCCTTACAATGTAGTACCCTGAAGGCAGCCCCCGGGGAAGGTTGACGGAGAGCAGGCCGTTGTTCTCGACGAGTCGGTCAACGCACCATTTCTGCGTCACCGGGTTGTAGCCGTCCTCCCAGATTTTGAACCACCCGCCGCCAGCGGCGCTTTCTGTGAACATGTCGCTGACCTTTTTGACGTATACGGCACAAGGACCAAGATGGCCCGGGTCGATACTGCCGGGCGCCTGACCGTCTGGCCAGAGACGGAACTCAAACGTGAGGAGAGATCCTTTGTTCGCAGGGCAGATGAATGGCACCGCTTGATTGCCGTTGCGACCTTGTTGGGCAATATTAGCATCATGATCAACGGCTGAATAGGAGAGGAGCATTACTGACCACAAACCATGTCCTCCGAGGTGACGACATGGATTGGAAATGTGGCAGTCTCGCCATCATAGGGCATGCGAACGCAAGTACCATCTCCCTGATTCTTTTTGTCAATGAGAAGGGTTGTAAAAGAGGTATGAGCACTTGCTACAGAGGCAAGGCTTAGCAATAAGAGGCTAGCAATGGAATGCTTCATGATGATGGTGATGACGATGATGATGCAAATTGCATGTTTTGGAATAGACTTGATGAGCCCAAGAAGAGCGTCACAGAGGGCACAGCATACTAATATGAATGAAAAGATGATGGCAGTAAACAAAAGGCTGCAAAGAACAATGAAAGATAGTCTCCGGAAAGGGGCAATCGCCGCCCATCTTGTAACGATAGTTTGTTGGTCTCGGCTCAAAGTTTCTCTCCCCCTTGATGGCTCGTGCAGCCACCCGCCGAGGCTTGGAGAGTTTATATGCTGCCCTGATAATGCAAACACGTCTCACCAGTCGTTTAGATTGGCTGTCCTTGGCCCGATGCTCATGAAAGAAATCATGTCTTGGCAGGCTGGCGCCCAGCAGTCATGAAACCAACATCTCATACTGAAACCAGATGAATTGCCTACAGCCAGGCTCCCATTGGACTGCACGGTTTGGTCGGCGCTTGTCCATGTCACTGTGCGACTCGACTCGGTTGGCTCCTCGAGCGAGATAAACTTCAAGGCAAAGTATCCGACGAAGCTTGCGGCAGATTCAGGGAACAGCACCGTTGGATAAGGACTGCAGATCCGATGGGTTAGTTAGTAGTTTCACCAACAAATGAAGGGCTCGTATCTTTGCTCGTGGAGGACCTAGACGCAGACACCAAGCCCCTCGTTCACCTTCATATCGCAATCACGCCGCAGCCAGAGCCAAAAAGAAACTGTAAAAAAAAGCATAACTACCTACCATGAGTGGAGATTTCGTATTAAAAAAAAAACACCGACAGCCTCCGCGATAATCACTCATAGGACGCACATCACACCACTCATGGTATAGATCGCTTTCAGTCTATGCCAAATGTCCCTCATCTTCTTTCCCCCCATCTTCCCTTCTCCAAGGGAAGCCTCCGCGTCAGAGCACATGATGCCGCTATATTGTCAAGATTTTGTAATGTAAAGATTTTTGGGTTTGTTTTTGGAATTGTTCATTGTCTTTTTATAATTTCCTTTTCATTCGTATGGTACACAGTATAGTACACTCGTCATGACGTCGGGTATGATTGCTTTTCCTTTTTTCTTCATCTCTTTGTTTTTACTCGTTGATCTTGGCGAGAATCCTGCGTCGTATTAGCAACTATGACCATGACGATTGATATTCGTAAGCAAGACTCACTCGCTGTCACGGAACAGCTGGTATTCGTCCTCGCCGGCCTTGACATGTGCGCCACCATGCTAAGATACCCAGGTCAGCCCAAGAGTTCCTTTTCATCCCCATCTCCCTCTGTCCTAGAGTAGCTGATCAAGCTCATCCATACCTGAGGAATCAGAACACGGTCACCGACGGTCACGCCCATGGGGATGCGCTTGCCATCGCGGTCCAGACCGCCGGGTCCGACGGCGAGCACCTTTGCCTCGTTGAGCTTCTCGACGCTCGACTCGGGCAGGAAGATGCCGCTGGCGGTCTTGGTCTCGGCCTTGACGCGCTGGACAAGCACGCGGTCCAGGAGGGGGGCCAGGTTGCGGATGGATCGGATGGCAGACTGTGTGTTGGTTGCTGTGCGTTAGCGAATTGCTTCTTCTCCTTTGCTATTATTCCCCAATGACAACAGTGGCAGCTCCCAAAACGTTATGCGTTGATGCACATATAGCCATGTAAGTCATCTAGCAGCAGGGTGGGGTGTTTTGGTGGTGATTACAACCACAGCAAGAAGAAAGTAGACTTTTCGGGAGGGGGGACACAAGAAAGTGGCATACCATTGTGAATGGATGAGCAGTCGAAAGTGAGGTCGTGAAGCCTGCAATTGGTGTTACCGGTGGACGGAGAAGAAGAAGAAGAAGAAGAAGAAGAAGAAGAAGAAGAAGAAGAAGAAGAAGAAGAAGAAGAAAAAGGCGGATGAGCTGGAGGAGCGGTTCGGATCGGCAACAAATGCTCTTTCTCTTCGAACGGCTTCCAGAATCGAAGCAGCTGCTTAGCCGGCAATTTTTTTTTTCTCTCTCCCGCCAACGCTCGGTTCGGGATTTCCCCTCTTCCGAAGGCCTCTGCTCCGCGCTCCGCGATAGCTTCAGGTAGCTTCTAAGCGCCAACCCCGCCATTCTATGCCGAATCCGGAGCTCCAGCGCTCTCGGGCCGAGTCGACGAGCTGATCTGATGGGACGGCGCAGTTTGAGGCGAGAGAATCAAAAGAATCAAGGTACTTTGGTGACATCTTGTTCCATTGAAAACTATTTGGATGCAGACTATGTCCTAATATGTACCAACATGAAGTTACGAAAAAAAGAAAAAAAAAGCAGACGCCGTCTATCCCCCCTTTGGCCCTCAACCGCCAAAACCCCCCATCACCTGTAAATGGTATGCCACTATGTAAAGTTATATAACCCTGAGGTCGGAATTGATCTGCTATTAAAGACATTGCACACCCCCGCACGCACCTGATTGAGAATCCAACACTGTATCGCATCTTTCTGTCACGGGCCCCTCTTGAAAACTACATGGTATTGTGCAATTTCATCCTGTGTAAATCCAAAACGCCAAATCAAATGATGGAATGAATAGAACCAAAAAAGAAGAAAAGATGAAAAAAAGAAAAAGAGGGGGAGAAAGACAGAAAGAATGACGGGTTGTCAAAGTGAGAGAGTAATGTGTTTGTAATGTGTTTGAGTGAAAATGAAAAAGAAGGATGAAAAAAAAAAAAAGAATCAAAGAATCAAAGCCGCCACAAGGTTTCGCAGTTTATGCCTTCTTCGGCGCAGGTGGCTGAGAGTTTGGCGGCTCCAGAATATGCTTGTGGTCAGGAGCGGGAATCACGTCTCCGTTATCCACTTGCTGGCAGATGACCGTGTCTGCCACCCACGGCTCTTCCAGAATCTCACCCATCCTAGCACGAGATTTGGGGTTGATGTCCAGCATGCGATGAATGATGTGACGGCTTTCTCGGGGGAGCAGACGAAGAATTCTCCAGGGACCTCGGATGACCTCTTTTTTGTCGGTGGTGACGTTGACCCCGGGAATGGGGAGCTTTTCCTGCTCGGGTGGGGGTGTATCAGAAGAGTCTTGCCTCCTGTGTGCGTGGTTGATGGGAGGCTTCGAATCATCGTCGGCTAGGAATTCTCGAGCAGCCACAGACGACAGGTCGTTGGTAGACTTGGGTCGCAGCAGTTTGCCAGGGTCGTGTCCAGGGGTTGGGCTGGCTGCGAAGAGCTTGTACGAGTTGTCCGTCATGCGGGGAATCTTCCAAGGGAAACGGCGCAAGGTCATGCAGCAGAAGATGATGGCGAGAGACCAGATGTCGACCTCCTCGGCATTGTACTCTTTGGAGTCGTACACCTCGGGAGCGAGGTACGGGTCGGAGCCAACAATGCCTGTATGAATTCTGTTAGTACTGGAAAGTAAGGGGGGAAGAGGAGATGCATATATATATGGATAGATATATATGAAATGGGGGAAAAATTGACTCACCCTTTGCTGGGACAGAACCGCTCTCAAAGGGATACTTGAAAACATGAGCACTACCAAAATCAATAATCTTCATGATGCCCTTGTCGCTGACAACCACGTTGTCGAGCTTCAAGTCCCGATGCGCAAGACCCATGCTGTGCAGGTAGGTGACGCCGTTGAGGATCTGCAAGAAGCTGCACCGAATCTCTTCGCGCGACATCTTGCCAGTCATGACAATGGCGAAAAGGTCAAAGGGGGCATACTCCATCACCTCGAACCAGCGGCCCTTTTCCTGCAGGATATCCAGCGTCTCGATAACGTTGCCATGGTGGAGAGTCGATCCAACGCAGAATTCGGCAGTCACCTTTTTGTTGTACTCCCTCTCCGTCTCATACGTGTGGCGTGCTCTAAACTCCTTGACGGCAAAGACGGTGCCATCTTCCGTTCGACGCATGAGCCTGACGGATCCACCGGCGCCAGACCCCAATACCTTGCCGAGTTTGCCGTACTTTGACGTCAGGCCGTGGTCGTCGCCAAAGGGCAGCTGTTGGGTGGAGCGGCTGGCCTGACTGGACTTGGACGATGACTTGATGGATGACGGCGATACGTCCCGCTTCTTGTGGTGGCCCGATTTTCGGAAGAATCGCTTTAGATCAGACATGGAACCCGTTGCCGCATGGCCATGTGCACCGTCGTTGGATCCGGAATCGTCGCTTTGCTTGGATTGCTGCGTGTACATTCCCAGGCTCGTTTTGGACGACGTGGGAGACGTTCCGTGCTTCTTCTTCCTGGAGAAGACAAACCGCGGGTCGACTGAATGGCGGGTGGGGTGCTGCATCTGAGGGGGTCGGCGGCCTTTGGCGTAGGGATCGTTGGCGTCGCCTCCAGGTGCCATTGGCTTGGAGTAGTAGAACGATGCCGCGCTTCTAGAGGGGCTTGATTCCCGAGATACCGGGACAGAGCTTGGCCCAACAGAAAACATGTCCTGCCGATGCGGCGCCCTAGACCCTCCGCGCTGTTCATCAGTAGACGAGGCCCTGGACATGACGTGGTCCGAGGACGCTGGTCGATGAGTGAGAACCTTGCGATCGGCAGTGCGAGTAAGAGTCTTATCGGTGGAGGTGGACGGCTGCGGAGTAATGAGGTGAGAATCATTGACGGCCGAGGTGGGAGCGCTGGTTACGGCGCCTTCTTTATTTAACCTCTTTTCGGGATCTGATCCAGCAGGCGTCAAAGGGGGAGAGGCCAAGGCCGAAAGCCGGGGGCTCCCATGGGGAGACTGCCAGCCCGATGAGTTTGGCGTTGGGAGTCTCGTGGAGTCATTTGAGGCATCTTCACGGGAATTGACCTGATGGAAGGCGTCGCGGTTAGCCACTGAATGGAGCAGGGTTGGCAGGAAGAGAAACGCAGGCGATGATGACGAGTAGATGCTGAGCCTCGGGGTGGCCGGGGACCCGGGGAAATGAGTCGGGATTGCAAACATTCGGGGCGCTGATTAGATGCATGCACGCATCCGCGTTTACTTGACGGACGCAAACCGATGCTTATATCAAAAACAGCGAGAACAAAACAAACGGGCAAGGGGGAGGGGGAGGGCAAAGAGGGTAGAAGAAGGGAAACAAAACAAACGAGCAAACAAAATAGCTTGTCAAAGACGAAAGTGACCATTCATAATCACGAGATGGAGCAAAAAAAACAATGGAGCTCTTACCCTTGACGCAGGCAGAGAAAAGGCCTCGAAACCAAAAGTGCTCATCCGGCGCTCCTGCAGGGGCAATCCATGATTCATGGATTTCTGGAACGCCTTGATCTGGTCGGCGGCAACCTCGTTGAAGGTATCGAAGCGGTCTGAGGTGTTTGTCGTCGTCTTCAGGGAAGCCGGGGCGGCGGGCTGCGCAACGGGAGCCGTGGGCTCAATCTCCTCCACGGCGGAGGAGAAGCGGACAGAGGCCGGACCATCGTGAGGTTTGCTGCCGGAGCTCTCCTTGGACGGCGATCGAGAGACTTGATGGGACGAAGCAGCTCCAGAATCAGCAGCAGCAGTGGTACCAGCAGCGGTACCAGTACCAGCGGCAGAAGAAGTATCGTCTATTCAAGGGCAGAATTGAGTTAAGGTTAGCAAAAAAAGACAAGCTGCTTCGTTATCGCCAAATTCAATCGATGCAATCGGTGGGGGGGAGGGCGTTTGAGGCGTCTCAGCGGATGCACCGGACACGCAGAGGAAACTTACAGGCAGCGGCTTCCTGCTGGAAGGGCGCCTTCTGAGGCTCTGACGACGCCATGGAGCAGGTCGAAAACACAAAGCCTTTGTTTGCCCGCAGAGTGAAGCAGCGCACGAAGATCCCAGAGGCACCGAAGCAGGAACCTTGTGGGAGTCAAGTTTTGAGGGCCGGGGGGCGGGTAGCGCAGCGCAAGCCCGTGGCCTAGCGATACGCCTTTTTTTCTTCCCTTGGACTCGATTTCGGTTGCGCGATGATGGAAAAGAATGGCCGATGGTGGGGCTGGCTTGGCTTTGGGGATTCCGGGCCACTTGCCCAATGCACAGGTACTGGTACAGCGCGGAGTCCGTACCCTCGGAGGTAGCGCCGCCAAACGGCCTGTACCTGCGAAATACGGGGGGGCCTGCAGGGAGGCGCGGTGACGACGGTACAGTACGTGAGAGCTGGGCGACGTACAGGTACCTTAGGTGAGTACCTTGGCCGGACGGGGCGCGATACCTGACAGAGGCGCTGCGTCACCGGTACAGGTACTGCGCTCGGGTGCTGCAGGCGGCCACATGCTTTTCACAGGATGTAAAGGACCTATCAGCCGCAGGAGGCGGTCACGGGAGAAATGTACTGCCAAGTACCCAAGCTGGTTGCTGTTTACCAACGGCTGTATCTTCGCAAGGCAAATATTCCCAAAAAGGGCAATGTTGTCGTTTGGTGTTTGTCATTACTATTACCCAGTATATCGTGGAACATGTCCGTCTTTCAACGTTTGTAAGCCGTCCATGCACGAGTACAGTCACTTGCTGTACAGCCTCCCCCTTTGACAATCCCCCCTCGTCTTGTTGTTTATTATAGGCACCAAGTACAGGTACAGGAGGTACTGACTGTCCAACTGAGGCAACAAGGGGTCCTCCCCCCCAAGCACATTGAAATTTGCAGTGGGCAGCGGCTTTTTCGACACTCCGTCAAGGAACCCCGAGCAGCCGTACCTTTTCCCCTCTTTTGAGGTACCGCCGCGCTGGCCTCAGCTGGAACTTTAGACCCGCGAGGAGCGCCCCAATACAGATGGCTGGGCCCCACGATACATCCCGCGGCGGTACCTCTCTGACGGGCAGCACGGCAAAGGTACCTGGGGGTACAAGGGGGCCAAGGCTCATCGCCGATGCCGTTGGCCAAATCTACAAGTGACGGGCTGTCTGTTCCTTCGAGGCGCAATCTAGAAAATTCCCCCATCCTTGCCATTGGCACTCTATCGGATACGATGCCCTGTGGTTACAGCTCCCGGGAGTTGCGGAATCGTTCAAGCGCCACGCTGGGCAGATTCTAGCTGCGCGGCTGTCGGATGCACGCACGTCCATCAATACATGTACTTGCCTATTTATCCAACCAAGGTTCGCCCAAATTCGGGTATCGTGAGGGCGTCGATGCCTTACCTGACCTTGTCCAAAGCCAGCATGACATGCCTCGGCACCGAGCTCTGTGCTTATACCGCATCGTGCCGTATTAGTGCTATTCCCTGCGTGACTACGACTTACCCGTCTAGGGAATCGACCTGATGCTTGCAGTCAGTTGGCCCTTGTACGAGGTACAGTAAGGAGTGCTGAGCAAGTAGTACGAGTATAGTGCCTGGTAGGCATTACCCACCCCACGGATGGTCTGTGACCCGCGTCTGGATCCTCCCAATTCTCTCAATGAAGCTTTCCGTGGCGTGGATACGGGAACAAGCACGTCGAGCGTTGCCGCGGCCGTGATTGGCAACCGGGGTAGCGGCTGATTCAACTCCCGCCTCCATGATGTGTCTCTTGTTTTCAGGGCAACAGGCGTCCTCTCTCTCCTCCGCTGGCCCATCATCTCGTTCGATGTGATGTGATGTGATGTGACGACTCCCACAAAGAGGCCTTGGTCTGCTTTGTAATCTGCTGCAAGTATATCTCGCATATAGCTACACCGAGGGCTCTGGCGCTGGCGCTGGCACTGGCACTAGCTGGGCAACGAGAAGCTCGAAATGGGTTGCTGCATCCAGCTGTTCCTTCGGCTAGTCTCACCTGAGTTGCATTGGGCCCAACACAACTGAGACGGAGCATAAGGTAGCAAGGTAGATAGGACCAGCTATCTGGAACCAACTTGGATGGTAGTACTCGTCGTAGTAATATCAAATTGCCGCACACTGCTCAAGTCGGCCCGTCGTGGCAGGGGGCAGAATCAATCAAAGGACAAATCCGGCGTCCCATCCCTGGCTGTACGATACGATACATGTACAAGTAATAACCCAGTTAGATTTGCGTCACGATATCTGTACAGGTACTGTACCTCAAGTACACACTTCGTACTTGTATGTATCTACAGTCCGTTTGCTTGTTGCCTCTCCCGATCGACATCCCAGACGGCCCCACAGGTGGACATTCTCCCAACCGCCGGTGGCAATCAAAATCAATCTGCCGGCATATTTTCTTTCTTTCCTTCTTTTTTTCTCTTTGCAAGTCTGTATGTACCTACATGTGGTTTCCCGCCTGTCCAGACAACAACCAAACGCAATCAATTTCCATTAATTTCCTTTTTCCAGAGTTGGATTCTAGCCTTTCGGGATCGCCGTGTATCCGTAAAAGTAGCCATCCCCATCCTCCCTCTCGCCACCCAACAAACAAGACAAACAAGACAAAGGGGAAGAAAAATCTTTCTTGCATTAGCCCGACAGCTGAATCATTGGCATACGCTTAAACGGCATGCTTCGATAACGGGATTTGCTTGCCGCCTGCTAATACCTACTACTACAGTAGCAGCAATGCCGGGCTCTGCTGCAGAACGCACGTGCCTCATTCGGCATCAACTCGCTATTCTCAAGGATAACATGAACCTTGCACGGCCATCTTGGCTTTCTTTCCCGTGACAAGCCCGTCTCCAAGTGGGGCTTGATCGCCACTTGGGCTTGATCTCCCTCCCATGTAACATGATCTTCCTCTAGCCAGCTTCCAAAGATGCCGTCCAACATTAGCCGAGAGCGGAAAGCGAGGGCTAAATTTGTAAGCGGTGGGCAACGTCCATCCAGTCATGAATAACCATGGTGAATGGTGGTCTTTGACTAGGTATCAAGTGCTAGTTGTGAGAGGTCATGCGGTGGATACATATATGTGTAGGTATATATAGAAACAACTTGAAACGGGTTTTTATCCTCTATGACGATCATCTCGATACATGCTTCCCCACACGGTGGGTTCAGTCAAGTTTGGACGTGCCATCCTCACGATGCTTGAATTGCTAAATACACATCATCATTCGGGAGTTTATATGGCCCACCATCTACAGGCAGAGGTTCCTCGGGTTCATTCATAGTCCCACCGTTCAGTATTTTCCGATCCGGCTGATAGCCGCCATGGGCGATGTTCTAATATCGAAATGCGGATTCTAATTCCATGTTGCCCAGGCATAAAGTCTTCTTGTTTCGCTACTATCTTTGATAGACAGTTTGACAGTGTAAAATTGTTAGTGCTTTATTGGCTAACTAGTGAAGTCATCAACATTGACCATTCTTTGACTGTAAAAACAAGTCGTGCGTAAAGGATACGGCAAGTAGAAGCAGCCGTCTAAAGCAGAGGCACGTCAACTGCTTGCCACTACTTCATATAAACCCACATAGATGTCGCTAGTCCACGAGCGTATTATACGCTCAGCAGCTTGAACGATATTCCCATGTCCTCCAGCCTCTCTTCCATGTACTGCATCACTGTACGCAATCCAGCATTGCCGCCACGGCACGCACCGCTCTCGATGTGAGCAACAAGCCCGCTGATTGTTGAAAATTCCTTCATACTCGGCCTGGATTTCTCAGAGTTTCCTTGGAACAGGATTGAAGGACAGTGAAAAATCTTGGGCTTGTGAGCAGGCGATTGCATATGTTGCTCGAGAGCTGTTCTTCCATGGAAGCGCCTTTTGCTGCGAGGGCAGAGGGGGCAAAGATAAATGCCGTTGGCAGGCAACTCTGGACAGTTGCTATCCGTATCAGATAAATCGAGTCCGGCAAGATCTCTTGCAACGAGGCCCATCAAATCCATCTGACTGCTACTAGGCGTCAGCATGACACCCTCGCCTGAATCTGTGCTTGGCGTCATAACCCCGGAGCAGCTTAGTTCGGGCTCGTTATCCAGGCTAGCCCAGCCCAAGGACTCGAAGCTGCCGTCGGAACTGGTGATGAGATTCTCGGTGTCCTGCATGAGCACCAGCCTGTTGAGTTTCTGTCGGTCCATGCCCGACCGACAAGTGCCGCTCTCCATGTGGGCAATGAGAGCTGAAGGGTTCCGGAAATGGGCATTGCACTCCACGCCACTAATCTTGCCCGCCATGCAAGTCAAGTTGCTAATTGGACGATGAATGACGGAATCCAGATGCTGCTGTAAAGATTTGACCTTCTTAAAAGTACGATTGCATTCTTTGCATTCTCTGTATTCTTTGGGTTCTTTGCTTCTCTGTGGCCTTGCGACGGGCGTCCCATGGTCCTTGGCTCCTAGGTGGTCGATGAGAGCTTTCTCGCTCTTGAAGCCCTTGTTACAGTCACAGCAGCGAAACTCGGTAGCGTGTCCCGTTATTTGAACGTGTTGGTTCGAAGCCGCTCGGCTTTCAAATACCGCTCCACAGTCGTTGCAACGCCATCGCATGTCTTTGAGTGGATTTTCCCAACATGTCGCGTGGAAAGCCTTGTGTTCCTGGAGGGCTTCGGCCGAGGCCAGACATTTGTTGCAGCGGCGGCAAATAAAACGAGATTTAGCCCGTCTATGCTGTTTCAAGTCTGCTTCGCTGCGGAAGGGGCGGCCGCATGTGCATTCCAAGCCCGGCATTGTGCGCTTCGTCGTGCTCCTTGTATTCTGGAGATGGAGTTGACGCTGGTCATAGGGCTCTGGTTGGAAGTGAGCGACGTTGGACGGAGGGCTGGGTAGACGCTGCTGTTTTAGGCTCCAAAGGTCTGGGAGGCCTACAAATTGAAGGAATGTTTTCGGCCGGACTGCGATATTTAACCATCCATTGATGAACCTTGTTGCTCTTCCAGGCGCGGGGCGTGGCTTTCGATAAGCCACAAATCGAACAAACTTCAATGTATATTTTCGTACGGATGCGAGTATGCCCTGTTCAGGCATCGATGCCTGCAGCGAATCGGATGACGCGATGTCAGGCGGCCGGTACGCGGCCTGCAGTCCTGCAGTCCTGCGGCGGGAGGCGAGTCTCGATGGCGAGGCTCACAAACAAACCGCCATTGCGTTCTGATTCCAGGCAGCCGTTGCTATTTGCTGGATTGTATAGACTGCCGCTCTGATTGGTGGTGATGCTTTGTTGTTGGACAAGCATTGATTGATACATCAAGTTAGTACCTCGTTTCGAATTCACGTGCCAAATGAGGAGTAAGGCGGACAAGAGGGAAGGGGGGAAAGGGAGAAAGAAGCCTCGAGTCGGAGGAAAAACGAAGCCGAATAAGTATCTATTGCATGTCTTGTTCAAACCTTCATCGTACATCTCGACGCAATCCCGCAATACCTGCTGCCATGTTATACACATCGTTGCTCCCGACCCCGCCTGTTTTGATATGCCGATATCACAAAATCCATCATCAAACGCCGGTTTTCTTCTTCTTCTTTTTCTTTCATTCTTCCTTGGTATCGTTAAGCCACCACATTGATCCCTATTGATTTGCACTGGAAAATGATGGACCGGCACAGCCCCTCCAGCGACAGGCCAGACAGCCTGAGCTCCGATTGCTTGATTTTTGCGATTTCGTAAATGTGCTTCAAGCTGACGGTGCCGACCGTCTCATGTCCAGGCTTGCTGACGCCTTTTCTGTTCCCCTTCTTGCCCGTCGGCGCTCCCACTGCATTGAGCAGCAGCCATGAGGTCTGGGGCGTTCTGACGTCAAACGTAAAGGACCGATCAGGTCGAACCGTGACCCGGCATGGCATGGGGGTGCCAGGGACGATGTGTGCTGTTCTGGCATTGAATTCCTACGTGAAAGTCAGCCTCGGGTTCGTCTCAAGTACCAAATAGCTGTCCATCATATCGATCGAATCCAGCAGCAAAACATGGAGTGACAGACCTTGCAAAAGTCCATGGACTTGACACCCTTGCTACCAAGCGCGGGACCGACTGGAGGGCTTGGACTGGCCTGGCCGGCTCCCACAATCAGTTTGACGATGGTGTCCACGCCGGCGGCGGCGCCCCTTGCTTTCGACATGGCGGAATTGAATTTGCAGGAGGCGGAATGCTCGAGTTTCGGCGATGCGCAATGTCGTCTCTTGCTCGCAAGGGAGATTTTGGAAATCTTGAAGCAACCCGCATCTGCTGCCACTATTGGCCAGGCACTATGACTAAAGCAATCTAGTGCGGTGCTGGGAGGTCCACCCATTTCTTTATCTTATCGATAGCCCATGGGAAGACCGCCAAAAATTTTGGAAGCAGAGAATCCATCATTCTTTGGCAGCAATATCCTCACCTCTGCATTTCCATTTCACAAACAAAATTCCCCTCGCAATACATCTATACATCACAAAACGCGTCCGTTATAGTGCTACATTATAGCGCTGTATTGTATTGCGTTTCAAGCGCAAGCCATTCGGACGAGTAGCCGCACACACACGCACACACACACGCACACATCCAACTTGACATTCAAGCACGATGCCGTCCACACACAAGAAAGACAAGCCTTGGGATACAGACGATATCGACAAGTGGAAGGTTGATACCTTTACCGCAAAGGATAATGCGGGCGGCACATTCACCGAGGAGTCATCATTCGTCACGCTGTTCCCCAAGTACCGCGAAGTCTACCTGAAAGAAGCATGGCCGTTAATTACCAAGGCGCTCGAGAAGCACGGCATTGCCTGCACATTGGATCTCGTCGAGGGTTCGATGACGGTCAAGACAACGAGAAAAACCTTTGATCCCGCTGCAGTCTTGAACGCACGCGACCTCATCAAGCTGCTGGCACGAAGCGTCCCTGCTCCCCAGGCCGTCAAAATCCTAGACGACGGCGTTGCGTGCGACATCATCAAGATCCGAAACCTGGTGCGAAACAAGGAGCGATTCGTCAAGCGCCGTCAGCGAATACTGGGGCCTAATGGCTCTACGCTCAAGGCGCTTGAGCTTCTGACGGAGACATATATCCTCGTCCACGGTAACACAGTGTCGGCCATGGGGCCTTACAAGGGCTTGAAAGAGCTGCGGAGGGTGATTGAGGACTGTATGAACAACATTCATCCCATATACCACATCAAAGAGCTCATGATCAAGCGTGAGCTGGCCAAGGATCCTGAGCTGGCCAACGAAAGCTGGGACCGCTTCCTGCCAAACTTCAAGAAGAAGACACTGAGCAAGAGACGGGTGCCGCTCAAGGTTACAGACAAGGCCAAGAAGGTCTACACGCCATTCCCGCCTGCGCCTGAGAAGAGCAAGGTTGATAAGCAGATTGAGAGCGGCGAGTATTTCCTCAGCAAGGAGGCCAAGGACAGGGCCTCTCTCAGCGACCGCAAGGAGAAGCAGAAACAGGCAAAGGACGACAGGGCAAAGGAGCGAGCGGCGGAGTTTGTGCCGCCAGAAGAGGACAGGCCCAAAAAGAAGCGGAAGAAGAGCTCTGAGTAAGGTGGCTAGCCTAGCTTTGATACACCAGGTGTTGGAGCGGTTAGGAGCGTTTATTTATCTGTTTAGAGAGAAGGAAAGAAAAAAAATCCCGCAATAATATCCATGGGACATTTAACAGAGGGCCATTACAACAGGAGCGCCTCATTCTTCTAAGCTTGTGGACACTGATAAGGCAGTGTGAATATAGATGGCCTCTTTCAGTGTGTCAAACTACAGATTTGAGTGTATAATAGAAAAGATATTTGTTCAAGATGTACCAAGATTCCATCACATGGTTCATTAAAATGCTCGTGGCTTTGCTTTATTCAATTCCCACGTTTCCTCCCCCCTTGACCTCTATCCCTCTCTTCTTCTACTGTCAGCCTTTCCCGTCTCTCCATCTTTCATTGTCCTCTTCATCCCCGGGCTCACTTACAGCTTTGGAGAGGAGACGTCGGAACCAAACTCAACAACTAGCTTGCCAAACTGCTTCCCTTCGTCCATTTCTCGGAACAGCTCGTTGAGGGCGTCAAGGTTCCCAAGGCCCTTGATCGTCTTGCTAATAATCGGCGTAATCTTCTTTTCCTTGACAAACGCCACCATGTCTTTGAATTCCTGCTTTGATCCCATTGTGCTGCCCTTGAGCTCCACGTTGGCCAGCACAGCCTGCATCAACCAGTCCATCTTGGGAGACACCGTCATGCCGTACTGTGCGATGACGCCGCCAGGCTTGAGAAGGCGGACGGTCTTGGAGACGAGCTTGCCGCCAGCGCCATCAATCACGGCGTCGAGATAAGGGCGGTCTTTGGGAAGGAGAGCAGCCAGGTCCTTTTCCCACGCTTCATTCCTGTAGTTGATGCCTCCCTTTGCGCCCAGAGCCTTGGCTCGCTCAAGCTTGGCCGGGTCGCTGGATGAGACGTAGACATTGCTTCCAAAGGCAACGGCAAACTGGAGAACAGCGAGCGCGACGCCACCTCCGATTCCTGTCACCAGGATGTTGCTGCCCGGAAAGGCGGCGCCGCTCTTGGTCACCAGCGCCCTCCATCCCGTGAGTCCCACGAGCGGCAACGCGGCACCCTCGCCCGGCGAAAGGTGCTCCGGAGCCGGCTCGACTTCGTCTTCGGGCACGACGATGTAGTCCTGCCCGGTTCCGGCTTCTGTGATCTTGCTGGAACCAATGACGGCATACTTGCGAGGGTCTTCGGGTCCGGCAGGGTTGGATTCCCATCCCCGCATGGGCGTCAACAGCACAGGCTTGTGGAGCAGGTCCTTGCGAGTGACGTTGGGCCCGATCTCGACGACGGTTCCATAGCCGTCGGCAAACAACGGTGTGGTGAAGGAGATGGCAGGGTATTGGTGGCGGCGGATGAAGAGGTCTCTGTGGTTGAGGGCCGCGGCGGAGATGCGGACGAGGAGCTGACCAGGCCCTGGAGTAGGCTTGGGAACCTCTTTGATTTGGATGCTATAATGAAAGAAAAATTATGAGTCTTTGATGTTTTGGAATGGTCGGATTGAATGAGTTGGGGTGAAGAGAGGGTTTGAAACTCACGGATAGTAGACTTCTCCGGGCTTACCGCCTTCAATGTGTTGTAGAGTGAGAACTCGCGGCATGGTGGGGGTTGTGTTTGTTTCAGCGAGATTCAAACCGAGTCTTTTCTCTCTTCTCTCTTCTCTTGAAAATCAATTGGTATGAACGAATCGTCGCGAAATTCAATTGACTCTCCCTAGCACAGAACTACAATGCTTATATAGTGTGCACCTTGACAACTTTATAGCCAGACGAATGGGCGGGAACAATTTCCTCCTTGAGGGCTCACTCACTTATACCAGCACCTAAACAGTAGCAAATTGCCTATTATGACATCAACCCCGCCACGACTCACCGCGTTGACCTCGGTTACAGTTTCGCTGCATTTGTCATCCTCAGCCATCAAGAAGAGAAGAGTTTGATCTTCAATCTACACGTTCCCTATTGCTTGCTCAATATCCAATTGGAGCGGTAATGGGAATTTCAATTGCGATTACCGGCCGTCGCTGTAGTGCCGAGAAATGTTCTGATTGATTAATCCCTAGGATATTGCATTAGTACTAAAAGTGCATTCTGCATTGTCACCCTCCGCATATGGACACCTTACATTGGAATCCGTATCCCAAGTTGCAGAAAGAAGGACGGATCGCATTCATCATCTTGCACTTCTTGTACAAACAATTGCAAAGACGGACATCTGAGGCAGACAAATGAGGTAGACTGCAGATTCCTTCAGTTGCCTGATTACCTAAGGTTCCCCCTTCGATACCGTACGTACATGTACCTGGGTATCGGTATCTCGTGGTCGTGACTCTTGATTGCTTCTCCTCTCCCCCCTCGAACGCGTGTCTCCCTAAACGTCAAAATCATCTCCCCATCGTACTGCAAAGCTATACTGCATCCTTTATTCAAAATCCGGGAATAACAAGAAGTTTTGCCCGCGTCGACGACACCCCACATATCAACGACCGCGTTACAGTGGTTGGTTGAGTATATACATCTCCTGGAGCGTGAGATCGACAAGACAACCACCGCCGCTCCGGAAGAAGAGGACGGGTTCAATGGGCCAAAGCCCGCGCCTTTGGGGACTGGAGAGCCGCGGGCTCTCCGTTTCGGCTCGGTCTACCGGAGAAGCGTCCGGCATCGGCGCTCTCCCGAGCCGGTAAGCAGTACGAGTACGTTTTGTCTAGTTCCCGAGTCTGACAGTGGAAGCCACTGGAGAAGCTGTCCCCCGTGATGCGCTGTGCGTGCCCGTGGAAGATGCCGCCCTTAAACTATGGATAGAAACCGGATAGAACGACCCTAGCGAGGAATCCCTGCCGTCTCCTTAGTGCATATGGACCACCGAGAACCGTGATCCAACAGGTGAGGTTGAACCCTACGAGTTTCGGTCGGCACTCGGGGAGCAGGATCCCTTCAGAAGACAACGCAGACGGCTAACAAAAGATATCTACATAGGTGCCGCGTATCTCTTTACGGCAAATCATACGGAGTATCCGAGTGAAGCTTCTCCTTCGTCCTCATCGCCTATCGAGTCGCTTCCCTCGATGCCCCTCGCCGGTATGGTTGTACGCCGTTTTACACGCAGTCGACAGGGCCTCTGAGGTGGCCGCCGCATGTTTCAACTCGTTTAACATTTGCCAAAGCCCGAGTGGGTATTCCTCTGTACTCGTACTCACCGACGCTCAGAGCTAGGACAAAATCTCCGACCTGTCGAAGCTAATTTAGTATGTAGTTGCTGTCAGCGCCACAGGGTGGCCCTGCGAACAAGGACCCCTTACGGGCATCCCAAGACGATCATCCGCTTCAGTCAAAGCTCCTCGCCAAGTTGAAGATTAGTTATCATGCTGGTCGCCGACGTGATTGAGTCGTACGGCTACACATTGTTCAAGTGCAGACACGAAAGGCAGAGCGCATTCATCCCCGTTTCCCTCTATACATCGCCGATATCCTTCTCTCGGTGTGACTCGCGCCCAAAGCATTCTCTGGCCTTTTACCGATTATTTGTGGTCGAGTCGCAAAGCCAGTGTGAGTCCTTTGGCCAATGTAATCAATATCACACCGCATGATGGTTCATATAGAGGTCAAGGCAACAGTGCAGCCTCCACCCTACCAAACCGTCCATGATTCTCGCCAGGGTCCAACGGCTATTAGCAAGCTGAGCCCAATATGTGCAAATTTAAGCAACAAACCTTGCTGAAACAAATTCAACGTTGGTGTCCAAACGTTGGACTGGTTAAATCCCGCCATACACGCCACGCACGCCATGGTCGCCGAGAATTGCGCCTCCAGCCTCCGGTCCGTCGATTTCGGGGTCTCGGCGATCGTGGCCAATGACAGGGGGTCCACTAAAACAAAACTTGTCGCCGACTCTTTCATACAGTCGTTGTCCTTCTTGATCAGGGCTCCGATGACTGATACAGGCTACGGGGTGTCATGGCAAGGGAGTGTTTACTCATAATGAAAGTCTCACTCATAGTATGAGAAGCCCGAGTGCAGGCTTCTCCAGAGTCTTCCAAGTAGTGCCCGACGAGCCGTTGAGGATTATACGATCGCCCACGACTAATAACGTAGGGGCTATACGTGTCGTTCCCCGAGCCTCCTTGCATGCTTTGCCATTATTATTAATCTCTTTACTATATTTGAGATAGCATCTCCTGGCCGTTTAAGACCTCCAGTGCCCCCTCGTTCACTATTCAACTTTGCTGCAGAGAGAAGTCTATTTCTTTGCTTCTGAGCTGTGGTATACTAAACCATCTCCAACATCCTTGAGCATTCCAATAATGGCAACGTCGTTTCTATCCGGTGCTGCCTTTGGGGCGGCCATGATGGCCGCTTCCTTTCACGATCCTGCCATAGTCATCGCCCAGATGAAGTGGGAAAACTGGCACATGGCACAGGCGTTTCTAGCCGCAACTGCAACCAGCGCGTGAGCAGCTCCCTAAAATGCCTCTATGAGGCTTTTCCTATACGCACAACTAACCAGTGGTGATCAAAGAGCGGCATATGCCATCGCAGAGCGTCTCGACTACGTGAAACTCAAGCCCAGGAGTTCTTCGCCGATAGGTCTCTTCTCTAGATACGACGGTAACCTCATCGGCGGCGCTCTCCTCGGTGCCGGCATGTCCTTGTCAGGCTCATGTCCAGGGACTCTGTATCCTCAGCTAGCTGCTGGTGTCCATACCGGTTTCCATGCCCTGAACGGAGCCATACTTGGTGGCCTCTTGTGGACTGGGCTTCTTTCCAAGATGGTCAAGCAGAACAAAGAGAGAGCAAACATTACCCCGATAACAGTGACCGCAAACGATCAACTTGGTCTAAGTAGAGGTGTCACTTTGCTTCTCTTCGAAACTGTTTGTCTCTCGATCCTCGCGGCAACGACAATCTATACTCCCAAGTTCCCCGGAGCCAAGATGCTCGGCGCAACAGGCGGTTTCATCATCGGCCTCTCACAGCTTTTCTCAATCATCACCAGAAAGTCCATGGTAGGCATTTCTAGCGCCTATGAAGAGTTTGGGAACTACTTCTGGTGGTTGATTAAAGGCGCAGAACCCAACACGAGACCCATCTCATATAGCAGCATTCTCTTCGCCGGCGGTATGACGGCTGGAGCTTGGGGAATGCTTCAGGCCGTGCCATCACTGGCTAACGCTCCCGTGTTTGAGGCGCCACCAGTGTTTGCAATGGCCGGAGGTGCGCTTATGGCTATTGGGTCGCGTATGGCCGGCGGCTGCACATCTGGACATGGCATCAGCGGCATGTCACTGCTATCGCTGTCCAGCATGATTACAATTGCAAGCGTATTTGCTGGCGGGGCAGCTGTTGCGCCCTTGGTCTATTGAAGTTCAATACACAGATATATTCTAGACAAAGCCCTCCACGACGAAACTCCCCTATACAAAAGTGGTTACATCATTGCTCGATCCCTTCTTTGCAGTGACCTCGATTTCAATCTTCATCTCATCAACCATGAGGCAAGACTGTACCATTGTCGCCGCCGGCCGTACATTGCCAAACCACTTTCTCAATACCGGCCAAACGAGAGGGAACTCGGACCGATCCGGAAGTATATAGCGCACACGAACAACTTCGGACACGGAGGAGCCGGCGTCCTTTAGGGCCTTGTCGATATTGATCATTGTTTGTTCAGTCTGTTGGACGACATCCTCAGAGATTTCGCCAGTAGCATAGTCGTAACTGCAAGCCATTATTTGTTATTTTTCAAGTCAAATCAAGAGCTGAGAGCCGTCGAAGCGATGCATCGTACCCAGTGGTTCCCGATACAAATACAAAGTCATCGACGACGACAGCTCGGGAGTAACCGATTTCGCCCTCAAATTTGAATCCGGAGGAAATGAATTCTCGAGGCATTGTGTGTAGGTACCTAGTAGGTAGTATACGAGTTATGGAGAGGCAGCAAAGGGAACAATGAATTATACAATAGTTAATAAATGAAAAAATAATAATACTAGAATTTCAGTTGTTAATCCAAGAGGGTTGGGCGTGACTCATATTGCTATATATATATATATATATATACTGTAGATTTTTCGACTTGTACGCCCTTTGTGACTCCCCCATACAGCCCGCCACGTGAGGCTGGCGTCGATAGCTTAGCCCCAAAGATGGATAGTTTTCCGGACCGGACGTGTATATACGTTCCGCATCGTTTTGTCGATGTGAAATAAGACGTTGCTATACGCTTCTCATATATTTCATAGTGAACCATCAATTTATTCTTCAATTTCGCTATTCACATGTTGTGTTCCAATTTTTCTCTTCCCGATACCGATAATACAGTTGAGAGTTGATGATCCGTTGTAATTTACAATTGTCTTCCCTTTTTCCCCCTCCACCACCTGTCGTTATCGTTGACGTTGCTATTGTACATGGAAATACACAGACAGATTTATATCCGCATTTTCTTACTGGCTCGTCAGCTCCTTGACCAGTGCCGCAACCGACTTCTTGTCCACATCTTTGCCTTCCAAAGCAGCGTTGACGCGCTTCATCACCTCTCCCGTGAGAGACTTGCCTCCCTTGCCAGCACCATTGGCAGCTTCAATGGCTTGGGTGATGAGAGCCTTGATCTCAGCCTCACCCAGAGTCTGCACGCCGCTCCCCGCAATGTACTCGTCCAAGATGGAGATTTGCTCATTCTCCTTCTGCACTAAGTCGTCCCGCCCAGCCGCCTGGGCGTCCGCGACGGCATCCCGTGCGCTCTTCTGGAGCTTTCGGATCAGGGCGACTAGCTGGACGTCGGTGCGGATCGGGGAGGTCGTCTTGGAGGCATTGAGGTTCGCGGACATGATGGCTCGGAGCACGGATAGCCTGGGGGCGTCCTTGGCCCGCATGGCCGTCTTGAGGTCGCCTTTTAGCTTTTGGAGCAATGGCGGCGGAGCGTCAGCGTCTGTTGAGTAGAATCGAGGCGACTTGGCGAGGCATTGCGTCCGTGAGAACCGCCGCGGGGCTTGTCGCGAGCATCGAAGGGCTGCCAGGAGAGGCATTGATGACTTTGAGGCTGCCATTGGGTTACTGCTGGGAGCAAGGGATTTGTGAGGAGGAGAGAGAGAGAGAGAGGCAAAGGCGGGGGGATGGTATGTAGTTTGCTTGGTAGACAAAGAAGAATGGTAGAGGAATGAATCAATCAATACAAGCATGAGGGGAGCTTGTCAGTAAAGGTACTCCAAAAAAAATTAGAGCTTGCTCGATTTAGTCTGGAGCTACAGGGTAGGCTCAATCCATGGGCTGCTGCTCTCATTAATCCACAGCCGAATCCATCTAAAAAAGCAACCAACTCAGAACCATCGAGGTCAAGGTACCTAGTATAAAACTCGTCGGCAAGCATATTCCGCAAACCGATAGTAAGTAGCTGTGCCTTATAAACTACACCTGTCTGTTCCCACCTCTGCACATGCCTTGGCGTTGACAAACATCGGCTTCCGCGCTTAGGATCTGGCCTGTTCAGACCTGATCTATTGCCAATGCAACGTCGAGTTACCACTAGCAACTCCTTCAGCACATGATCAAGGGGTTTTCGATCGGAGACGTGCTCCATAGTCCAGCATGGAGAAGAACAGCCCCGGACACAACAATCGGCTTCCATTGGATCGAAATCTTCCTGCGGCCCTGACAGTCTGGTCTGTATACATAACGTTACAGGGCATATTATCTGCATAAAGTCCCCGGCTAGGATGGTGACCCTGCATGTACGAGTAAGGTGGTATTCTAACCACATCATCAGTGCCCATGAAACCCGCTCCCGTCACCCTCTGCCCCGTCAAGGGTGGCGTCTTGGCCTTTGGTCGACTCTGAGAGGATGCCAACCGGCGCTGTAGCCTCTGCGACCTGCCCAAGGGAGATCGCTGGAGGAGAAGATGGCAAGGCCGAGCTAGTTTTTGTGCTGCTGCTAACCCCCTTGCAACCTAGAGCACACAGAGTCCCTGGCAATGCTAGCAGCACTACCTAGTTCGTGTGCCGTGCTGAGGCGGTACTTGTCCTAACTCGTGTGGTCTGCCTGCAGCTTGTTAGGCATGAATGCGTATACTGCTCCAGAAAAGAGCCCGGAGCAGCACGAAACACACTCCAGACATACCTGACAGACCAAGGCCCTCTTTGCGGCCTGACGCCCCTCCCAAAGAAGGAATGTTGCGCACGAGTGGATGCCACGGCGCGGAAACGGACGTGCTCGCCCTGGGATATCGTGCTGGAGTTGTCGCTTGCCGCTCCTGGTTCGGGTGCTTGACCAACAGCGGCTTCGCTTCCTACTCGCTCCCAGGTGCTCGCGTCTGAGGGATCCCGCGGCATTGGTAGCGAGCTTAAGCTGAAACCGGCCTGGTGAAGAATGGGATTGGCAGGTTTTACGGTGATAGAACCGTATCCGTAGTCTGTAGACGGGCGTTGTCCTGCCGTGCGTATTGTATCATGTCCTCGCTTTCTGGGCCCCTGAACCGGTAGGGTCAACGCCAAAACAACGCGTGCCTTTTCTCCCCCCCTCTCCCCTTCCCGTGTGCGTACTTTTTCAGGTCAGCCTTGAAGCAGAGCTATGGAAAAAAACAGAATGGACTTGGAATTAGCATCGAGCTGTGCAATACCCCGGCAGTCAGTGTTCCCTTTGATCCTTTCATGAGACATGTGAAATGGGTGGGCACAAAGAAGTTGATAGATTGGCACAATGACCAGTCACCTTAGTACCTAGGTGAAAAACCCATTAGTAGCATCAGAAGATGACAGTTGCAGATAAGAGGGAAAAACAAGAAGCCCTGGACCGAACCAGGATCCCGGGCAGCTGTTATCTGCAGCTTCTCAACGGGCACATTCGTCTGTCCAAACATGTGTACAGCACGACCGACGCACCTTGAATAAAGATCCACGGATACGTTTTCACCCGTTGGGGACTGGAAGCAATAGAGCAGCAGGCAGCAAAAGACGTTGATTGATCTGGTCAAGGACTCTCCATCACGATGCTCCAGAGCCCCGTTGCCTTGCTTGGGCAAGTTGGCTGATGAGATGCTGTCTCTTGCCCTCCCAACCAACAAAGCTCCGTTGCAGGCCCCTGGGAAGGCACACAGACTGATTCATGCAATAGGCGCAGCTGCCTTAATGGTAAGTCAGTGCCTGCCGACGGGCGGAGAAAGATCTGACGCTTATTGCTGAGGCAGGAACCAGATGCTAAGGCGCCACCTTCCTTCCCCAGATCCACCCCTTAAAACCTTCTTTCAACCGCCTTGTCAATCTCCCTCACCCTCTCTCGTTTTCTTTTTCGGTGCACCGATTTTATAATTTTCGCATCTCCATTTCTCCCTTGCAACTCACCATCAACTCCTCCATTCTCCATCGTCCGTACCAATCGTGGACAAATCTGCAGCCGTCTTGGCTTCGATGATTGGCGTTGAAACATCCCATCCTCCCAGACGCATTGCATGCCTCTCCCGGCATGGATCCCTGGCTATGGGGCCATTCCCATCTTGACGTCTGCCCCCAAGCCAGGCACTCGCCTCCCGCCGTGCTGGGCTCCCCATCCATCCCTCGTTCGCCAATCGCACAGTGTGACCATAGCCCTGGTCAATCTATCATGGGTGCGGCTTTCGTCCGATAAACACATATCTGCATTTGTCATGGGTAAGCCGCCAGCGTCCCGCCTCTCAGCGTCGAGGAATGTTTGATTTTGACTTACAGAGGGAAATAGGCCTGCGCGCGATTTGCCAAGTCCTTGGTCAGCCAATTTGCTCTTTAGTAAAGACGCCCGAGGATGGAAATTTTCTCACCCGGTATGAAGGATTGTTGGCCTCATTTCTCGCTTGAGCCACCAAGAGCTGAAAGTCTTCCGCTGGCATACTGCGGTCCCCCAAAATCATGTCAACGTTTGGCTCTTTACGTCTAGTTGACATTGAAGCCTTCACCAAGAGAGAGCAGCGGTGGGGACTCACTTTCGCATCTGTGTGAATGGATACAAGCCCGTCGAATAGAGCAGCTGACTCACGTTGCTGACGTTCAAGGCACCAATTTGCTGGTCGCGGGGATCTGCAGCCAGTCACGTCAAATCCTGCTCTTTTTCTGCCTCTCAGCAGCCTAAGCAGTTTCCATCATTGACATACCGGTTGGCCATGGGCACATGGGAAGTGTCAGAAGGCGCGACTCAATGTCCGTGAAGCCTGCACTCCTCATCCATTCCTTTAGACGCAGAGCCGCTCGTGGGTCCTTTTGAGGATGCATCGCGTCAAGGTATCCGCTTGACCATCTCGAAAGTGCGTGGTCTACTTGGTTCAGCAAGCAAAGCTCATCTGGGGCCTGGTAACGGGCCTACCCACCTGCCGACAGCGTCCCGTTATCCGACTGAGCGTTGAAATATATCTCGACCAGTTGACACCAGCCACCTGGCTGAAGGACGCGGTACATGTCCCGCAGATAGCTTGGCCAACGTGTTGCATGGATTCCGCCTGCCATCATCTGGCTGTGTACGACATCGAAGTAGTTGGATGGAAACGTGAACCTAAGACATTGCAAAGCACTCAGCTGATGATTTCTTCGCTATCGAGGAAGAGGTGGAGGTGGAAATATAAAACGTTACTCACTCTCCATTCAGATCGTCAACCTGAAGTTCCAGATTATCGGGCAGCACTTCAGGAATCATATGCGGGCTGATGTCCAATCCCACGACCTGCTATTCTGTTAGCTCGCCTCTACCATCGATGTGACCGTTCTCTCCAAAGATTATCTACCCATGGCTGGGCAGATGACCTGACGACTGAAGCTATTCAACGCATCTGCAGCATTCTACATAATCAACCATGACAGCCGCATGACGGTTCTCCGCTGGGGCACAGCCTTCGACATTCACGTCATCAACAACACGCCCAAAAACATGCGATGGAAATTCAATCAGCCAAGGAAGATGTTTTGGCCTTTAGTCCGCCTTGATGTGGCAGTCGTTGTTTCCAGCCTTGGCTCGCTGTCCCGCTCACGGAAATGGGTCAAAATAACAGACTTGAGCACGCACCTCTGCATCTGGATAGTGTTCAGCAACATCAATAGCCCAATCTGCTGCTCCAAATCCGCATTCAAGTATTTTCTCAGGCTTGCTGACGGGGGGGAATATCAATCTGTTATCGAACACGGTGCGGAGCATAGAGTGCATTTCTCCCAGTCGCGTCATTTCTTCCTGTTTCACCACCCTGTTAGGGAACGAGGGCCAAGTATGGGTTTGCGTTTTGATACCCAAGAACATACTTCATCGATCGGCGCAAAATATGTCTTGCTGGCTAGAGCATGCTGCTGGAAGACTCGACCGTGGTGGTTGACCGTCTCTGCATAAGTCTCGTCAAGAGGAACGGTGCCATCCCTACCAAGAGGTGTTAGCGGCCGTTGTCGACCGTTGAATCCTGCTGCTTTGGGCCATCTCGTACTCTGCGTCCATTTTCTGTCCACGGATTGTTCCTTTCCTATTCCTGGGGGGAGGTTTTTTTTTTTTTTTAATATTTTTCTTTTGTTCGACGAAAAGCCAGCCCGATATGGAGATACGATCCGCGCTTGCTGTTGGTGACAATGGATTGATTGGTATTCGACCGTCTTTTGTATGGTGCTATATGTTGGATCGACTGATACAATCGCCATGGCCTGGTCTTCGATGAGACGCTGTTCAGGCTTAAGGAGTCATGTGGTACCCGAAAGCGTGGCCCCAGTCCGGGCGTTGGAAGAGCCCCTCTTGCACCGGGAAGGCTCCTACAGTGTCGTAGTCGGACTAAAAGAGGCATTAGGCATATTGGTATCGTGACCAAACAGACCATTTGGAGAGAGAGGGAGCAAGACGTGTCTCTTCTCCTTGACCGGAAACAGTGGAGCAGCGTATATTGCATCTGCCTGCATCTGCCTGCATTAACCAGCTGAAGCCTCTTTGCGTCTCTCTCTCTCTCTCTCTCTCAGAGCAGCTGCCGATCCTTCCTGCGTGAGCAGCACACGAGAGCGCTCACCAACAGTTTGTGCTACCTCATTCCTAGAGGCCTAGGTCTGTCAGGGGTACAATGCAGAAGCGTCAAGGTTAAGCTAGCGTACCTGCAAATGACGTACGGGGAGGCTGGCTGAGAATGTCTAGGACTCTGGGGCTGCATATAACATCACGGCCTAAGTGGGAGTTGCGACATTTCCACAGGATCTTGGTTGCTGGTGCCAGCGCAACGGGACAACTGCCTCGCTGCCCAAGCCTGCTGCAGTACCGAACCGCCGTGGGCAAGCATATCGGAGTCTAGATGCTCTCGACGAGGCGTGGCAAGGCAGAAATCTGACCCTCGCATGCTGAGAATAGGCGAGACCTCAAGGAGCGTCGTTCCGTTCCAATTACACCACCAGGGAATTACCAAATCTGTACCTGAAACCCAGAAGCCTCTTACCGCTTATGCTGGAAAGCTGGGAGGACGTGCGCACCTTGTTGGCGGAGCGGGAGGCGTCGGGGTAGCGGTACGGAGTACAGCTGCTACTAACAATGCTATCATACTCGTACAGGTAACAACTAGCAACAAGAGTTGTGGTACTAGTACATCTCGGGGCGCATGGCTGCGTCTATCTTGAGCCCATGCCTTCCAAAGAGCCGTGGAACAACCATGACTTGAAAGAAGGCGTCTTACCCATCTGTCCACAATTCATGGATGCTCGACAGGCCGTGGATCATGGATCATGGATCAAGGACCATCATCGACGCTATCCCAAATCCTGGTAGATGCGAATGCCACTCCATCGCCTCGATAAAAATTACGGAGTACAAAGTACATTGTGCTACTACATACAGCTGGCTCCCTACCTAGGAATACTGCAAGATTGTGGCTACCAATGCCGGTAGCTCAACGTGGTAAGAGCTATTCCATCCCTTGGGCAGCGATCAAACAAACCATCCAATTCTTTTTCTTCTTTTTTTTTTCCCTCCCTCGGCTATACGAAACGTTCCAGATTCTGTTCCACGGTACCGCGGGCTTTCCTCATCAAGCGTTAACATGTTGACACCAAAATGACAACCAAAATGACTTGCTATTACTGCTACTCAAGTTTCGTTATTAGCATGGATGCTTATAACGCCTAGAGGGGAGGATCTAATTTTTTTTTTAATCCGAGTCGTTCGTCTGTTTTTAATAGTGATTGGTTGGGCGAAACACATCAACTCAGCGGCTGGTGTGGTGTGTACTACTAGTACTCGTTGCTCCGATCCGAGCCGGAGAGGAAACCACTTGTCTCTCTCATACTCTTTTTATTGGTGTGTGTTGAAAGTTCCAAGCGCTCCGTACGGAGTTCTCCCGCTTGGTAAAACCGACAGCTTGGTGAGAGAGCAGGGGGAGGCAGGGTGGCACATGCCCACCTACTTGTCTACTTGGCCATATGCATGTGCTAGCAGCGCTTGTACCGGAGAATCAGTCACCAAAAACAAAAAAAGACACGACGGGCTCCCGGAAAGGGGGCTTGACTTTTTATGGTGCCTGGTCCACAAAATGACGGCCATGACAATTGCTTGCTGATGGGCCAAGCCGAAGTGTGACAGCGAGTTCGCCTGAATAGTCACCACGCGCATATGTAACTGCGGGCAAGCCTTTGTCGAGCGTTGCAATGACAGCGGCTCCCCTCAACCGGCAGCTTCTCACCGCTCATGACACGCCAACCTTAGTCTTGCTGAACCTCCCAGAGGCCACTGCCACGTTGGCACCGTCCTTTGGGCTCCCAGGCTCGGGATCTTGATCCAGCGAGGCCATCTGGAGCGACCGCAGATCTCGTTGGTAAGAGTTGGGCCAGACGAGAAGCAAGGAAGGGGTGGAGTTTGCCAGATAAGCAAGCCTCTGATTTTTTTTTTTGCTTGCTTTTTGGCATCTGAACAGTTGTCATTCGCTAGCGATTGGCGACTGACCACGATGTCCCACACGTTGACGAGCCACATGGAGCTTCGGGTGCAGAGCCGCGGCTTATTGGCTTACCCTCTGCGAACACAACCGCTGCTTTGCTCCGGAAAGGATGCAAAAGGCAAAAGGGATGCGCGGCCATCCCATGTAGAGGGGAAATTGTCGGCTGTGCACACGTCCAGGCCCGTGGAGCACGACTGCCCAGAGCGGCATTAACACGACATATCCTGGAAATCCTGAATCAGCACTGGGCAGCAGTCGCAGCATACTGTGCAGTATGCCTATGAGCTCAGCAGGCATGAGGGGCTCAACAATGGCCGGGGCTGCCTGGCCCCCTTGTCACGACAGGCTGATGGGACAGCGACAGCCAGACGCCACATGTGTCGTACAAAATACGGGCTGCGTAGTCGACTAGTGAGTGTTGAGGGAAGCCGATCTTTTAGCCAAAAGGAAGAAGAAAAAAGGGAGACCGTGATGAATACGGCCGGTCTTTGTGTACGAGTATTAGCTGTGAACCCACTCCGTCTCAGCTTAGCCTTTTTGCCGTGCCCATGTTTTGTTCGAGCTCGTCCTAGACCCGGAATGCCCGCAGACGTTACGTATGATGGGCATGAGAGCTGGTTTACATACGATACTCCTCCATGGGACTGCAGTACAGGGAGGCATGTCAAACAAGCGCTGCACGGACCGACAACGAGCGGATTTGACCAAGTTATCGCGACCATGCGCACATGATTCTAAGGATACCGCCCTTGAATATGTACAAGCGGATCCATAACACGAGGCCGTGATGAGGAAATCTACTATTCGTCAGCTATTGTCTGGCGTCGTATAATTTGACATGATGGATTTACGCCACTTATCAAACGTTGTAGCTGGGCTATCAACACCTTGGCTCGAAACAGAAGAAGACGTTGCTTGTCATCTACGCGTGCTAGTTTGCCACTGCGAAATTGGTCAAGCAACACCTATATCCTGCAATATAGGCAGTGATCGGCTCAACACCCTCTTTGTTCGCCTTGTTTCATCCTGACCAGCTGTTGTTCCGCGCGCAAGAAGCCCTCCGCAGCGGCCCCCGCCTTGTCAACCGAACAACGGTGCTTGACAGCAATTGTGCAACAAGAGGAGGGGAAAATACCTAGAGGGCAATGCTAGCTCTTCAAAGAAAGTAATAGGGCATGATTCATGTCCCCTGAACGCTGCGGACCGCTTCTGACATTAGCTTTGGTTGCGAATGTATGGAGCCGTGGGCGGAACTGTGGCAGGGGTGTCCCTGTCCTAGCCCCTTTTTGCCGACCCGAGTTGTCGGGACGTTGAACCAGAATGTCGGGATCGTCTTCTTCTCCTGCCTTTCTCTTCGCTTTACGGAAGCGGTGAATCCAAAAGCTGGGCAACTATTGGCACCAGCATTCGTTGTTTGATTCTGTACTACGATTGGGCACTCGCAATTCACCAAGATTTATGAACTACGAGTGCTCTTGGACGTGCCAAAAGTTCTGGGAGCCCTGCGCCTAATGCGGCCGCTGAAGCCTGCGAAATGGAGTTTCATAAGCACACGGAGACGACGCCGGGGCCGACCTCCGTGCCTGGATCTGACGGCCGGATTCGGTTCTTCCATTACCTACGAGTAGCAATTTAACCGGAGTCAAAAACGGCACTATTATGCCTCATTGATTACACTATACTCTGGAATTGTTTGACACAATTTCTGATGCGCCGAGCTCATAACACTACATACCGCGCTCATGACTCCCACTGCTCCGCCACCCGCGGTCATATCCTTACCTGTTCCCGTTGATTATCTGGTGCCCGTACCTGGACGTATTCGGCGACCAAACCACGCTGATGGGCTTTCCCCCTTTGGCCAATCGTGGCCGATGAACTATGGGGGTAGTATGGGCTTTGGCAGGAGCGGTGTTCCCCGTCGTGTTTACTTCTGACAACCCATGTCAACCCATTTTCTGAAGTTGCCTGCAGGCAACTAAACTAAGCATTATGACATCGGTGCGGGAAAAGGCATACGTGTTCTGCAGGCACTTGCGGAATTTCGGAAATCTCTCATGGCCACAGACGGCATCATCAAGCGTACAAGTGATCCCCGGGAATGGTAATTGGCAATCGAAATTGAGAACCTGGATACCTGGACGGTGGCGATTTGATACGCTCTCGTTTTGACCATTACAAAGCATACATTGACCCCCCGTGGTTCCAGGAATAAATACAAATGACCAAGTATCGTGCTGATGGTGCGGGATGCTACCCTTGTCTGATCTGATATCCACTTTCTGCTCTCACTTCCGATATTCAGGTACGAAACACGAGAGAACAAACGCGGCCGCAATTCTCTGGCGAGGGCCTCGTGTTTCACACCGTCCCGCAGCAATGGCTACTGCGCGCGCGTAATGAAACAACGTGCCCATATAGCAGCCGCCAAAAAAAGCATTCGAATTCACCAAACTCACCTTGGCAAAGTGTTACAACACCGGAAAGAATGCCGACACAGCGCATCTAAAACATCCCAAAGCAGTTGTTATTGCGGACTCCTGGTACAAAGTACAATTACGAAAGAGATATACGCCGGGAGAAAAAGCGCCGCCCCCCCAATTACCCGTCAGCACCAGACATGCATTTTGTACAAATTCCAAATTCCAGCCCCCAAACACCCCTTGGTGATGTAATAAGAAAGCCTGTGCAACAAAACATGGATCATCGCTTTTAGTGCTGACCAAGCACGTTTAACACCATGTGAAGACGGGGTTCCTGCTTTTCACAGCTTCGAGACGCTCCACAATGACCTTTCGTTGATGACCCATCTGTCCTTCCGCGGCGGCGTAGCCGAGATCCCCCTCCAAGTCGTCATCATCAGCCCCGTAAGAGATGTCCCCATAGAGCTGCTGAGCTATACTATTGCTGTGCTGCCGCGTTGCAGGGGTGGCATACGAGTATCGCCGCTGATGCTTTTTGTTCTGGCTCTGGTTCTGATGGCGCTCGGGCTCGTATATGTTGAGAGCGCGGGACGGACCTTGGAAACCTCTACCGGGCTGCGACTGGGATTCCATCGTTGGTCTGGTAGCTACGGGAGCTCCAGACGACTCATCAGGGCCCATGAAGGGATCGTCAGGAGGACTCGCCGTGTCGAACCTACCAGACCGCGGCATTTCAGCCGGTGCCGAGGCAAGGCCAAGAAGATCGTCAACAGGAACGCGGCTGGTCGGGGCAGAGCCAGTAATATCAGCTTCGTCCAGCGACTGTCGCTGGGTGGTGCTGCGGCGCATCTCCGAAGAAGTCATCCTCATGGGCACAGCGACGGGCACATCGACGTAATCATCCCAGACACAGACTTTTGCCCGGCGAGTCAACTCCAGGGGGCCATGATCAGGAGTCTTGAGCGCCTCCACCACATTCCAGGCTTGGCCCTTCATGACGGCAATCTGTTTGGCAAACATGCGCTCCTTGAAGTCTTCGTCCATTTGAAACACCTTTTTGAGAGCCATTTGCGTCTCGCTCCACCATGCTGTTGATGTGAGCAGCGGCAGGAAGTGGTCTCGCGTTTTTTGCGAGAATGGTCGGCCGATGAGGTCGACCGGAAGGAATAACCAGCCAAAGGGGAAACTAAAATTTCACGATCCGTTAGACACGACGCTTGATTTACGAAGCACTCTGTACAGATGGATTATCTGCACTTGGGAAACGACTCACCTTCGCCAGGCATCTGGATGCTTCCATGGCCATGAGAGCGAGTTGTCAATGGCGCCGATTGACATGTTTGGCTCGGTTTTTCTGCGGGGAGAAGACGCCTTCATCGGCTTCTGGCGCTTGTAGGGATACGATGCTCGAGTAGGTTGAGGTGGCATCTCCGAGGCGTCTATTGGTCTAACATTTGCCTCTTCTTCGTCTTCCTCCGTAACGGGTTCCATGTTGATTTGGATAGGATCCGACGCCAGCGATACCGTATTCGTCTCCCAGTCCACTTTGACCATCCAGTTGTCGAGGCCACGATCGGTATTCCTCATGATATAGTCTAGAATAACGAGCTTCTCCAGCTCTTCACGGAAAGACTGCTTCAACTTTTCTGTCCATACGAATTTGTTGGGACCTGGGGATGCGTCTTCTCGACCATCGCCAGGCTGGCCCTCTTCCTCATCACTGGAGGCTGCATCATCGGCGGATGCAGAAGCAGAAGGCCGACAGTTGTCGGCCCAGCGCTTTTTCTTTTGCCGATTGGCCTCGTTTGAGCGAAATCCCGCCCAGTACTGATCCGGCCAAGGATTCTCTCGTAGAAAGACGTTGGCGTCTTTAAACCCCTTGAGGAAGACCTGGAAACTGCCGGGTTTAGCAGGAAGAGGCTTCTTCTTTTTCTGAAAACTTCGCCGATCCCAAAAGGGATAGTGGAAAGACTTGGATGACAGCCAAACCACATCAGTGTATGGAACCAAATGCGTCCGTAATTGGTGATCGAGCACATAGGCTGCCGCCTCGCTAACATAGGACAGATTGGGGATAAGGCTGCCGGATTAAAAGGGGTATTGTCAGCATTTGAAGCAGTATACCGTGTTTCCATGGCGAATTGAACTTACCAGGCTCGCCCAAAGAAGCAAGGAAATAGATTGCGATGGATCCATTTGTTCCATTTGGGGTTTCCTGCCGCATATGGCTCTTCGTCCTTGGGCTTGAACACGCCGACAATCTTTCCATCCGGATTGCGAGCAAAGTAGCTGCCAGAGCTTCCTTGCGAGATCATACTGGGATGAACTTCCTGTCGAATTGCCTGCCGCACACTTTCGATGACAGCATCGAACTGTGCCTTGGTCATGCTAGTGACCTGCGGCTCGGCGAGAGCCTCGGCAGATATCGGTCGTACGCCCTCCGGTGGCTGGAAGACGGAGTGATGAATCTCCAGCCGCTCTTCCTCCCCTAAGCTATGTCTACCCTTGCGCTTGAACTTGGCCGCAATTTCTTCGGCCCATCGTTCAAGTCGGGCGTTGATGGCCTTGATGTCCACGCCGCCATTGCTCCCCAGACGGCGACGAAACTTGGGCCTCGAGGGACCAAGCTTCGGGCTGGTAACGTTGGAGCGGTGGCGAGGCTGAGATAAAGGAGCATATCGTGGTGCGGACAAGGGTTGGAGAGATGCGGTCGATTCGGCAAGGAGGTCGGTGTCGGAATCGTCGCTGAGATCTGCCTGTGCTAGGCGTTCGTAACCCGTCGTCCCAGAGCGGTATCCACGCATGGTAAAGCAGCAGCTGATACCTCAAGGAACCGTCTCCTTTGTTTTTTTGTCTCGATGAAATTAAAATGATACGTAGAATAAAGTGTGGCTCGTCGCTCGGTGTGTGCCTTTCTGGAAGCGGTCGTTTCGTCTGTGGCGGTGACAGCGGGATGCTCAGCCTTGCTCCTGGTGATGTAGGCACGGGGCTAGAGCCGTACTGATGTTTCACAAGTTCTTGGTACAAGGGTGGCACAGGAAAAAGAGGAGCAGGCGAGACAAGAGGCAGAAAGAGGACGAATGACGACGATGCAAGCGCTCCAAGTTGGCTGGAGAAGGGAGAAGGGAGAAGGGAGAAGGGAGAGGCGAGAAGCGAGAAGCGAGAAAACGGAGAGACAGTGATGGATCGGTCCAGTAGAAGGAGTGCAGGAGAAGCGAAAGAAGGACGAGAGATTACGAGTATTGCATCACTCAAGCGAAGGAATTCCGCACAGATGGAGGGGCAATCAGCCGCGTTGGAGAGAGAGAGAGAGAGAGAGAGAGGCTGAGGCTGAGGCGGTGCAACAGCAGCGGCGTGTTTGTGCCGTCTGATGCGATGCGGTGCGGTGCGGTGCGGTGCTGGGGGATGTTGATGTGAGGGCGTGATGATGATGGTGCAGCTCAGTGCAGTTTCAGTGCAGTTTCAGTGTACAGCGTCTGTTACGCACTCGCGGCAACAGGCACATGTCATTGCGGCTGACCCGGTTCCGGTTCCTTCCCTGGTTCGTGGATGGCGCGTCGTGTGGAAGCTGCCAGTTTGGCGCCTTTCCCAGCAGGCACTAGAGCTGTTTCTGATGACATAAGCCAGGTCGGATGCGTCATGGAAGCCTCAATGTAAGGGGTCCAACTTTGATTGTTAGTTTCCATGGAAGCCCCTTTACGGACTACTCGTACTCTTTCGCTGGTACCGTCTGGGCTTCAAAAGTCTTGCATTGCATTTTTGTGGTGTCAGTCAGCGTCAGCACTTTGAAGCTGCATCGTCGATTGGGCGCCGTCCAGCAATCGCGTGCATGTGTGTGTGTGCGTACTTGGAGCGTCCCTGTCGGGCAGCCGTGATGCTATCGGGAGGTGTCCACCATCATCTAGACTCTCTAGCTTTGACGGGGGCTTCTTCCTGGGGTTCCGGCTCAAGACCTGCCTTAGCCCGCAGTAGCGTTGACAAGACGACCGCCGGCACGGAGCACTAGCAACGACAATCGCACGGAGCGGCATCAAAGCTGAAACCTCAAGTACTTCAGCCGCGTCTGCAGTGCGCTGTCATGTGGACGCATATGACTGGTACGATGCCCGGGCAAGAGCTGCAGCAGTCACATCGAATGTCTCGGCTGGAGGGCCTGGTTGCGGCCTGACCTGTCAGTTCGACCTTCGACGTTGGACCCTCTCATCCTGCCAGCTCTCAGTTGCTCCCGCATCCAATAGGCCGCCAAGGGGGCACTGTTGAGCTGGCCTGGCTATGCGGGTGATGTTGGGCAGTGCTCACTCGCCCTTGCATCAAGCTGTGGAGGAAGCGGATAGCCACCACCTAGGTAGTTAGCTCTCGGATTCGTCGAGTTCATGCTCTACTTGGAAGAAAGGGACGGCTTTGCCGCCGACCGGTACGACGGTCCAGATGCTGCCAAGTAAGACATATGGCTGTTTTTGTTCTTTCTAAAGCCGCCTGTACATGATGAAAGGGGAAAAAAAGGAGCTGTGGCCGTGAATGACATGAAAGGTGTACAAGAAGAAGAAGAAGAAGAAAGAAGAAGATGGTAAGAAATGAAGAGAGTGTCTCCATCGAGGGAGCCCCATGGTGGTATGACAATCTAGCTCGTTCCTCTGCGTTCTAACCAACGATCCAGGGTAAAATTCAAACACATCTGATACTCATCTCTGTTGGTGACATGTGTGTGAAGTTGTTATTACATCGGACCTGCTCCGTCGGCCAGACGGCAGCAGGCCCCTTTCCATCTCTCCCTTACCGTTGCTCATTGTATAGTAGCTGGGTGTGCCACTGTCTCCAAAACCCCCTCGGCTCGCTGGATAGACTCGCTCGTCTTTGAAACCCCGTCTATGCTTCGATGGTTGCATAGTTCCAACTGCTCTACATCCAATGGATTTGGACTGGACATTTTCTCGCCAATCCAAGAATCCTCTGTCATGGGTGGTAGCCCTAGGCTGGAGCCTATGACGCGCGGAAATATGTGTGCCAGAATCAGCCGTATCGAAGGAATGCATGTGCAAATTATGCTTATGTTGACTTCGAGAGTCGACCACCAGGCGATGCTCCAGTGGTCCCAGGTTGGGTTCGCCGAGTTGGCAAAGTGGGACAACGACTGGAATCGGAGGATGGAAACGATTGTCGCTCTGATGATGCAAAGTTAGTATATGGCTTATCATAACCAAGATGAGATAGAGGGGGGGAAGATTGGTCGCACATCACTCCCGTCATAAACATAATAGCAGCACTTAGCTTCCGTCTCCAATGAGTGTCGAGCTTGTATAGCTGGACTAGAGGAATGACTGTAAGCCAAAGATCCGTTGCAACATTGACGGCTGCGTTTGCCCATCCAAATGAATTCATGTTGATGCAGTGCCCGTGCGAAGAGTTGCTAAACTGCTCCCAGGTAAAGCTCAATGGTACGCATTGCACGAGGCTTCCAATAACGAAGCTGAGACCAGATGCGATATTGAATATGATCGTACCCCAAACTACTTTACGGAAGGCAGCCCCTGGAAACAGGTCAAGATAGAAGAGCGATAGACTGATCTTCACAATGGTCATAATGACCACGTAGAAAATTTCCATGGCTAGGAGCCACCGAGCGAAGGAGGCAACGTCACCTGGAGCCAATGTCCAGATATCCTTCCCCAGCCCGTGGCTACTCAATCCCAAGATGTTGAACGCGATGCAAGGAATGCCGATAAATCCTGCTGCTAGCAAGGTCCAATCATCGGGTCCAAAACCTTGCCTAATGCTGAAGAGATACTTGGATATGAAGCGGATTCCCGCTATCAGAAGCGTTATGGAGCCGAGAGCAACATTCATCGTCTTGAACCGACCAGATCGGTCCCGTACTGGGGCACCACACGCCGTTTGTGTGAGATTCATGGTAACTTTTCATCCAGTGTTAGCCTTCATTGAACCTTGGACGAGCGTTGAAAGGAAGCTTCGTACTTAGGCTCTCAGAGAAGTTGCATGATTCCTTAAAGCAGGAGAAGCTTTGAGACTGTTTAGCCAAGCTCTTGCATATACAGGCTAAATCAAGCTCCGAACAGGCGGCAGTAAAGCAATCCAGCTTTCAGGCGGTTGTCGCCAGGTTAGCCTTTGCGACATTGACGGCGATCGGATCTGGATGACAAGCATTAGTGTTACTTACAGAGCACAGCGGCAGATGAACCGAATCGTTGTTTGGAACGACTCGAGAGCTCAGCAAATTGGCGCCATGCTGCTGGCTTGAGCCGACAGGTAGAATTGTGGCCGCGGATACAGCAACGGCTGTCGCTATAATAGCGAGGGATGATCTTGGAAGCATATTGTGGCTGCTGAAATTAATGACGTGAATGAATGAAATGCCATCGAGATCTCAAGTAACACGAAACGAAGAAGGATACCGCCATGTTCATAATAAGAACCCCGGCTTGATAGAGCTCCCTGGGAGAGCAGCCATCTCGATCGCCATCCGATGGGTGCTAATTCCTCCCTTGCTTACCGGCTGCCGCTTTGAGTGGAGCACTGACGCTCTACTGGGCTGCAGGGCAAGACTTGGGAGCAAGGGGAAAGGGAAACCAGAGACTCCGTACCATTTTTTTGACTTTCCAATGACTTTTAGAGCTTTGGGCATTGTGATAGTACAGTGTAAAACATGACATGGAAGGTGGTGGGGAGAGTGGGCTATCCATCTGTGAGGTCGGCGAATATGGAGTACTTTGGAGGGAAAAGCTGTGCTGCTCTTGGGGGGGGGGGGGGGGGGGGGGGGGGGGGGGGGGGGGGGGGGGGGGGGGGGGGGGGGGGGGGGGGGGGGGGGGGG